AGAGAGGAGTAGTTATCCAATCCTCATTCCTTGGGATATTTGATTAAGATTTTTAGGTGTGACCCACATATTTAATGGTTTCTTAGGTATAAGTAAACGCAGTGTATGTGAGGAATGTAAATCATTCCCTTTCTTCTCACTAGCGCGTGTGCCAATTGGTTTTTTTAAAATTTTAATTTTAATTTTAGAATTAAAAAAAATAATGGGTAGTTGTGTTCCATTAAAAATAGGGCCCATTATCTTATTTTTAATTTTATTTTTTTAAAAAATATGAAAAAAAATTTGAATGTATCATATTATCCTTATTTAATTAATAATTTCAATTATTAATATTTGCATCAACCAATGACATTTTCTGATATTTTGAATGTTTTACTATTTTATGCCCTTTGTTTTATATGTATATAGATTCCCATTACTTGTAAGTAAAATATTCTGTTGATGCCCAAAATTGGGGGTCAACTTAAGTGGAAGAAGTATCAAGTCTTCGGTTGGACGAGAGTGTTGCAAATCTTCGGTTATGAGAGATCCTGCATAAGAATTAGGGAAGAAGCAATCCTTAAGCTTCGGGTACCAGTGTGATACTTGGTGAAGGCACTCCGATACTTAAGGCAGCAAGTGTGGGATGTGTGGTAAGTTTGGTAGAGTAACAGTAAATGTGAAAAGCAGTTACCCCTTTTTATCTAAGTACTATTCCACTCGTATTGGGAAGTGAAGTGAGAGTTTGCATAAAGTTTCAATGTGGGACTTTGTGCAAATTTTTGTGGTGGTGACAGGTGTCTGTGGTTCTAGGTTTTGTAGCTAAGAGCATTGGCAGCCGTCTTCGGTAGGTGACTATCACTTCGGAAGGAGGTGTTCCTTCGGCATGCGAGGAAGATGTCATCAGTATTTTAGAGATCACCCAAATGTCTTTCCTTTAACAATCGACGCGTGTGCCCATTACCTAATGCCGAATATACTTGATTTATTATGGTGTAAACACATCCTACTTTGATTTTTTTCATCCGTAGGGCTCACTGCCTAAGCTCTAGAGTTTCAAGAATGATAAATACGTTTACATTTTACCTAAACTGTGAAGGACAGAACTTGGACCCCCACCCCGAATTCATTTTTTAAATCTATAAAGGTGGAGGGGGAGTTTTCGGGGGGTGGGCAGAGTGAAATGTACATACATGACTTCTGTCAAGATGAAAAGTCCTACTTTTGCCTGGTCAGGTGCAAAGCCTGCTGCATTAACGCCATTTATAAAGTTGCAATGAGATCTTTATGTGATTTCACTAATTTTGTCCTACCCTTGCAATCATTCGTACATAAATTACAATTTCTCAGCTGAGTGTGTCACATGAACTTGGCCCAGAGATACGATACACATTAGCTAGGGATTTTCAGTTTGAATATGACTTAAATTTGAGTTCTATTTATAGCAATTGAGCAGAGCTGAGAAGATGCCAACCTGAGACAACCTAAGAAGGGACGAAACCCAAAGTCCTAATACAATTAGCACAAGAGAATAAGACTCAAAAGTACATCAAAACCTAAAAACTCATTGTAACCTTATTATTTCAGAATTTAATATTGTATCGGCTGGTAGACCTAATTAACCCATTTTGGTGTGTGTAATCTTGAGTTAGGAATTTGGTGCAAAATTCTAACAGCGGATTAGGTCATTATTGAGAACTACTCAAGAGAATTCGAAAATCTTCCGTTGGACTTTCTTTTATTCATTCTTTCTTCAATTTCAGACATACATAATAGAATCGTACACAATTTATTAAATTTTGTATTAACTTCCACAAGCAAATAATTTAGCTCGTGAGCTGTATTCTATTACTTTTGGGAAAATTGTATGCTTTTATGATCATTAACGAATCATTTAGAACAGTTAATTAAACATGCATTACAATGATCAATAAATCGAACGGTGATAATTAATTTATTATTATTAATGACATGTATATATCAAAGGACTTTGGGCAAAGGCATCTAACTTTCCGCGTGGGACCCATGAGATTGGTCGGCTGTCATCTCTGTCAAATTGACGTGTACCTTAGGTTTCCTCCCTCTCAAATCATGGCAAGTAGGAATTTAATTGTAATGTGCGCTGAAACAAGCACAACACATTAGGTTTAGTGCCAAAATTTGATCACATGCCTAACCTAATCTTTGTTTTCAATACAAATTCACAATAATTAAGCGAACGATCTGTGATTTTAATTTTTTTAGGGTTACAACTCATAAACTTGTTGTTTGTTTCCTTTAAGCAGCGGAGTTAAATACATTTTTGGCCATTAGATTTAACACGAAAAATTTCAATTTTGTCACTGAAAAGAAAATTTAACCAAAAGCCATGCAAATGCTATACTCTTTCAACTTTGTTATGACTTGGTTTTTTTGTTGTTGTCAAATTCATGTATTGACTTAATTATGAATTTGAATTTTCGTGAATGTGGGAGTACAATAATGGTTATGAGTGGAGCTTTTTATTTTTATTTTTAAAGAGATGGATTTGCCTTTTTTTGGAAACTATTGTTGAGATATGAACTTATTTTGCTATTGTTTTTATGTCGTATACCCTGACTATTTGAAGAGATTGTTAAACCTCATTAACATGAATAAGTTAAAGCTTAATTGATGCTACGCCTACCATAAAATTTTAGCTTTAGAACAGCTGGTGCAAGAGCATGGTATATGCATGACTTCTAGCCACTTAATAGAAATTTCATGTTAAACCCAGCCACTTAATAGAAATTAACGATATATCTACAAATTGTAAATTTGGATAATATAATGACAAATTTGACTTCTTTTTTTCTCAGTAATCAAATTTAAATTTCATATAAAATTCAGTGACAAAAAAGAAGAAGTTAACCCTCTGAATAAAGAGAGGATATGTTTATGAGGGAGCAGGAAGCTTTTAGTTAAAGTTCTCAAAACTCCTAAAATGTCATTGGTTAACCGAAATGTTTGACAAAATAAATTTAATTTGAAAAGGGTTAAAAATAGTAGGAAAAAAGAAGAAGAATAAAAATGTTAAACTTAAATTTTAAAAATAAAAAATCAAAACAAAGTTAATTGCCACACGTGTGTGCCAAGGGCGTTCTTTACGGAGGAAAGAAAGAGAAGGAATGATTAATCACCACAGGGAAAACTGAGCACTAAACTGTTAAACTGTAAATTTAATGCTTAATCCAATCTTACACACACACACGCACGAGATGATGAACAGAAAATCTCATTAATTTCAAACTAAACTAAGAGAAAAGTTATGCGTCCCCCAGTACTAAGCTACCACTGTTATTGTTATTACTGTTGTTTGGGGAGGTGTGAGCATGTCCTAAACCAATCTTTAGCCACTACACGTGAGAAGTATTTTTGCTCACCAACTTAACCAAAGGTGTATGCTCACCATCATTCTTAAAGAGTGATATTTGTCATATTATTAACCTTAGTTAACTTTTATATGAGAATAAATAAATAAAAATTTGAAAAATGGCCCACAACAAACATCCCGATTTTCTCCCCTCTTTTTTCCTCTTTTCCCCCTTGTTCTTCTTTTCCTCCCCTCTTCCCCGCAACCCTCTAAGAGGAAAAAAGGGGTGAGAGAATCGGGATGTGCGTTGTAGGTCCTTTTTCAAATTTTTTTATGTATTGTCACGGAAAAGTTAATTAAGGTTAACAATAGGACAAATGTCACTCTTTAAGAGTAGTGTTGGTGAGCATACACTTTTGGTTAATGTGGTGGGTAAAAATGCTCCCTTACACATGCATCTATTGTTTATGGAGCTATTAATAAAAGGGTACTATTAGCGAGAACAAATTTATTTACCAAATAATATGACAATGTTAGATTAATTTAATTTAGGTCGACTTAAAATTTTACTTACCACTAAAAAAAGTAAGACATTGATAAATACACCAATGCATCATTTTAGTGAGTATGTTTGGAGAATTATTTAGTGACTCAAACATTATTGTTAAAATAAAAGGAGAAAACAATGGCAAAAGAAGGAGGAAAAAAAGGGGAAAAATAACAGAATGAAAGAAACAACTTATATGCATATGTATCCAGACAATTTACGAATTAAGACATGAGTACTTTCTAGAGTAGGCTTTTATTTTTCATTTAGGGTTCATTATATGCTTATTACTGTTTAATATTTGTTTGAAAACGACATCTTATCTGGCAACAGTGAGTATAGCAAATCTCATTCAAATCTATTCTTTCCACTGAATAAGTCAAATTTAAACAGTAAGATAATAAAATGAAAGACACAAACGAAGATTGTTCTTTTTCCCCCTCCTTAATATTTAAGAATTACACTTGGAGAAGTCTAGATGTCGTGTTTATTTTCCGGGTTGATCATCTTGAATTTATGGCCCTAATTATATCATTTATAGTCTAAACTAGAATGACATTACCAGATCCGAGCATCTACAATCATACTCCCTACTTTTTAGTTAAACAACCATATTATCTTTTCGGTGCTCATAATATACTAAAATATTGATCAGGTCCTTCACAGTGAAGTGGCAACCCTATTAGGCTAAGATTAAAACAACTTAGAGAAGAAAAAATAATTAATGTTTTTCGTGGATCTAATTTCAAAGTGCAATGAGCAGTGATTTTCTAAGTGATGACCAGATTCAAGGTAATATTTTGGTAATTAGGCTGAGTATAGTAATTAGTTATTAAATAATACGGCATAAGTTGACAAAAGACAACAATTTTTGTATGCTTATTGGGAGGAAAAATGGTAATAGAAAAGGAGAATAAAATTGGACAGATGAAGAAAAAGATGAACAGAAAGCAACTCATATGGCCCTGGCCCCATGGGAGGTCTTCTCACTGGGCCCATAATGTGATCTCCATCGTCCTTCTCTCTTTAATTTTTTTCTCCCTATTCCTTTCACCTCCCCCCCCCATTATTTCTTGCTTTATTTAGCAAAAACAAAAAACTTCAAAAAAATCCATTACTTGATCATCCACCACCACCACCACCATGTCTGCCGAAAGAGGCAAAGATTTCGCCGATGGATCATCGTCTGCCGGGTCCCCAGGCGATGATCATCAGCAGCCAGCCACTCCGAGCCGGTATGAGTCCCAGAAGAGAAGGGACTGGAACACTTTTGGTCAGTACTTGAAGAACCAAAGGCCTCCAGTCCCACTTTCTCAGTGCAATTACAACCATGTGTTGGAGTTTCTTAGGTATCTGGATCAGTTTGGGAAGACCAAAGTTCATCTCCAGGGCTGCATGTTTTATGGGCAGCCTGAGCCTCCTGCTCCTTGCACATGCCCTCTAAGGCAAGCTTGGGGCAGCCTTGATGCACTCATAGGGAGGCTGAGGGCTGCCTATGAAGAAAATGGAGGGTCCCCAGAAACCAACCCTTTTGCTAGTGGTGCAATCAGGGTTTATCTGAGGGAGGTGAGGGAGTGTCAAGCTAAGGCAAGAGGGATCCCTTACAAGAAGAAGAAGAAGAAGCCAAGTCCAAGCAAGGGAGGAAATGATGATGAATCTAGCTCTACCATGCACTTCTCTTGATCATCATGCTCAATTCCTTGGCCCAATTTCAGAACATCATATGGTAATTAATTACAATTTTAATTATAAACTTCACAATTAGTTGCTTGCTTATTGCTTTTCATTTTTGACCAAGTTCAAATTCTGTCTCATCTATTAATGTTCAAGTACTTTCACATCATAAATACCCCAACTAATTGAAGAACAAATGTATTTAATGCCTAAAACTGCGATTGATTTGTGTCAGTATATATATGTAGTAAAACCCCAAAAAGACAGAAAAAGGAAAGTTACACTTCATCAAGACAAGAGCAGTCAAAGTTCAGTAAAGATTAGTTTCAGACTTGTACTATATGACAACAAAATATCCTACTACATCTCTCTTTCTGTAATAATACCCAAATTAAGCCACCCAAGAAATTAAAACCCTAAATGGCAAAATTGATGTGTTCTAATCTTTACTCTTGGAAGTAATTACATCACAGAGCTTCTTGTAATAGCATGAGAAACACAATCTCTGCATCTCCTCTCTCTCTCTCTCTCTCTCTCTCTCTCTCTCTCTCTCTCTCTCTCTCTCTCTCAAACACACTCACTCACAGACATACTCACAGACACACTCACTCACAATGTAAAACCCCACTGTGATTGTCGTACATCAATTAAAAATTGTTATCTGTTTCGTAGCTTTTCATTAATTTGGCTTTTTTAGGATTCTGCAGATTTTGTGCCCCCACGATTATTTCTTGTCAAGTGAGATATCATCTCAGGACATAATTCAAATAGACAAATGATTGACATACATATGATTAATTAAGGTTTAAGGTTTTCACAAATCTTCTTAATTCATATTTTATTAGTTTTTCATGTTTTTTCATCTTTTTATGTAGCCTTTTCTCTTGTGCTGTTATATATTTCCATTTTAAATTTAAAAAGGGCCATCATTGAGAATCTCTACAACGTAGAGCGCCCATGATATGATTAGTGCCACCACTACTTGTTCTTCTTTAATTAGTACTGCAAGAGATCTATACAATGTCAGTTTAATAGGAATTATACATCTCCAATTCATGTTTTCCTACTACCTTCCTATTTGCCTTCTGTGTTTTCTAATCTCATTTATATATATAATATATATATTGTATGTATGGTGATGTACCAACGTCATTACCATACGGAAGCCATGTGTTTTCTACTATCCTTCCCCTGTTTTCCTCCATGTTTACAATAGCGTCCGTACAATAATAGCGTCCATCCGGATAAATATGTATTCACACAAATTTTGTAGTGAGCATACATTGTCTAAGCTTTGATTAAAAAAAATAAAAAAATAAAAAAACTTAAGAAACCACTGCTATATGAGGCTGGTATTTGGCCTGTTTACCCTCTCGATTTATGAGCAGAATTTTGAGTGCTTATGCTGCTCAAAGTCTCATTATCTCACATGTCGTTGTCGGTTCTTCATGGGCAACTTGATTATTATTTTATGTATTAGGTTGATATTACCTTTTATAGATGATAGTACTATATGCACGTGTTTCTTCTTCACACATTGCCAACTTAATATAATATTTTTGCTTACATATTTAGCACCATATATAATTATGATTATGCAAAGCATAGAATTAAGACACAGCTTATATATATATATTTTTATGTGTATTAATAATCTGGCCTAATGGAGATGACTGAAAACGTGTTCAGTCTCCAAGACCAAGGTGTACTAGGGTTTGGTTGTGTTGCTCTCATATCACGACACGTTAGTAAAGAAACATTTACATTACGTACTGCCCACAAACATACCGTACGCAAAGTTCAGATACCAAGAAAAAAACAATGTAGAAAAGATGCATCAATGACATATCATGCATGATGCATGATGAGTCCTGGCATCGTTAGTTTAATTTACCTTTTCTGTATGAATCCATAAATTCGTCTCCCCCCATAATCTGACTTGATTTGTAATGTGTGGTTATTATATATATCTCTTGTTTCATTAACTCTGTCTAATTTAGTTGCATATATATATATACAGCTCTGAATACGTTCATGGACAAATTAATGCCCATCTCTTATATGGCATTTGAGATGGACACGATCGTTAGTTTCTTTTATAGCTTTTGCATGCCCCTCACATGCAGGGATATACGCATACATATATGTATGCATCTAAAGTACATAAGCGCATAAAATATACACACGACACACGATAACATTCTAGCAGGTAAGTAAATTGAGAACTTGAGCAGTTGGATCTCAACCATCAGATCGTATATAGATGGGTAATATGGGCACAACAGTGAGGAAATCCAGTGAGATGCATCTCAACCTTAATTTTACATGTAGTCTAGCAGTTGATATACAAATCCTAAAACTGAGTCCTCAACTTTACGTCGTTGTTCGCCATGGGAATTCTAAACCTTGCACCATGGTATATAAGACACTAGCTTTCTTCACCCGCTACCAACTGGTTTTGTAAGGCTGGATAATCTACCTTTTTTACATGGTAGCGGCCGCTTGTAAGAGCTAATAGCTTATTATATTTTTTGAGGATCTTTTCTATTGAGAGGGGCGATATATAACATATTAAACTCACACATACTACACCGATGCTAGGGTTCATTCATGAGGGGAGCATTTTCTCCAAACTACTACACTAGTAAGTCCTTTGTAATAGCTTATTATATTTTACACGAGGAGTTATAAGCTTTGCATCAAAAAATATAATCATTTGAGCTCTACGTACTCATTGATATCGCTTTTAGGTTGGATGTTCTACCTGTAATATACTCATTAGAATGCATATCCGTATGTGTTTGTGTACAAGTCATATGCTTTCTTGCTAAATTATGTAATATGTTACTTTGTCAAATTGTATATACAAAATACAATATTTAGACATCGCACATGATAAATAATTCTTATATTGACAATCTAATAACGTGTTAGACTATTTGAAAATAGTATATATGTAACTAACAGAATTTTTTCAAAATTATTGGTAAAATAGTTATCACATTGTCTTATTTGTTCTAAACATTGATGCATTCCTTCAGGTGCTAATGAAAAGAAAACAAAAAGATATCACATTGTCAGGACACTCAAATGCCACCGCAGGCACGTACCCTTGAAATAAAAGTTGATCATCAAACTAATAATTTACTTCCTTGCAGGGTATATCATATGGAAATTTGAACGAAATGGAAGGAATTGTTCCAAGGAAAATTATCTTGAAGGTTTGAATGATTTCGAATGTTGCTTTATTCAGTCAAAATTATATAAGGAATTTGATCTCTAAATGTATCGATCGACCTCTTATGGCATGGTGGCATGAAGCCGGTCTTAATTCATTTTGTTTGTAGTGTGGTGGGAATTTTTAAGCATGTAGTGGATCAGAAACCCTTTATATATAAATATTGGTTTATGCTTGAATATATTGTATTCCCTAGCTACTTCTTGTGTCCATTATTGTCAACAATGTTGGACATAAAATCTATCAGTCTCAACAAAATATATTTAACAGAAAATTATATATATGTATATACAACGAATTTAATATGCAAAATTATATTAACAGACAAATATGAAACGTAGAAACGAATGAAATCAAATTCATTGACTTGTGTATGAGATAGAAGCTTGCAGATTCTTCAATGTCCAATAAAATCAACTATTCCACTCCACTAGGCTCACTTTCCATTTAGAAAGTGTGTGAAGACCCACACTTATAAAGAGTAGAAACTTTCTCTACTCTTGAGTTATCTTTCCATTTTATTGCTCTTGAGTTATCTTGATTATGTTGAACTTACTTTTTCTTTGTATTAAGATTTCCAGTTGACAACTCCTGAGTTATCTTTCCATTTTATTGCTCTACCAACACTTGGTATGATTTCTAGTTGCTAGGCTAGTTTCCTTCAAGTTCATCAATTTTCCTTTTAACTCTTTCTTTAATGGACTGAATATCGAGAAATCTTCATTTCCAAGTTGTATTTTCATTTGCTTTTAAGTTTATAAATTGTTCATTTACCATTATATACTTGTTAAAACTCACACTGAATTAAAAAATAATATTGCCCATATCAGAAAAGCTAGCCTGATCTGCATCAAAACTTTAACAAATCTCATTTTACTAGAGCATAAAATAGAATATTGAAGTTCTTAAGCATACAAGGCGTTAAAAAGAACTAATTTGAGCAAGTTCCCCACTCGGAGCACAATGGCTTGATTATAAGTTAAAATTTTGAGCGCAAATCCTTACTTTTCAAATAACAAATCGACCAGACATCTTTCTGTTGGGCTTAGCCAAGCACCAATAGTGGCATGTCTATCTACCATACGACTAGGATCACTCCGAGGCCCATTACTTCGTCCCTAAGTAAACTCTCAGTTCAGTTTGGTTTAGTAAAGAGAAAATACAGTGCCAAGATATAGTGCACTTGCATCACCCTTCCTCTTTTCTCTCTAGGGTGAACAACATTCCAACTAAAATTGCAAGCTCAGAAAAATTAAAAGAGATAAAGCTTGAAAAAACCAAGCCATAATAAAACAAATAAAACTCTCACAAAGGAGAAGTGAAAAACTCTGACAAAGGAGAGGTCAAAACTACACAAAAAATCCGAAGAGAGTCTATACGACTTATTCCAAAAATAAAGAAACTTGGATTGGAAATCTATTGTCATAAAGCCAACCCACTGTATCCAAGCACCAAAAGATAACAGATCTCCACCAATTGACTTTCCTCTTGGGCAAATAGAGCAGATACACGGAAAAAAGACAGCTGAGATCTGTTGTAGAATTACACCATAAATGAGCCAACGAAAAAAAGCAGGAGACTATGTGGGAGGGGAAAACAAAGAGGATGAGAAGAAAGGAGGTGGAGAAGAAAGAAAAAAGAGGGGAAAATGGGACAAAAAGTATGGTAGTCACCACCCCAAAAGCGGTAGTGACTAGGAGTTTTCTCTCTTAGGGTTTCTCTTGGTACTTTGGATCTTGATTTGGTTCATTTTGGCCCATCAAACTGTTATAAGAATCAAATTATTGTTTAAGAACCTCATTATTGAAAAATAACTATCTCTTTTTTTTTGGGTCGAATATTGAAAAATAACTCTATATGTTTGATTACCACACTTATTATTTCAATATATAGCTAGCTTGCTAGCTAGTTATTAAAAATAAAATCAGATTATCATTAATTATGTTTTTCGACATACTTCTTTCATGACAGGAAATATAATTTATTTTGTCTTCGGTTGTTAAAAATGAGAAAAAGAATGACACCTCTCATATTTGAGTACTAGCAAATATGCAAAATGTTGTTCACAAGATGACGTGATAGTATTTGATTGAAAAAAAAATTTGGGATTTTTAGGTCTAATGGTCCTTGAATTTTGACCTCATTTGCATTTTGATCCCTCAATTTTCAAAATCGTTCCCATGTTCCTTTAACTTCACTTTCGTTAGGACAAATGGTTCTGCCGTCAAATTTGTTATATTTTTTGTTAAGTTCAAGGACAAAATAGTATTTTTGTATTATTATTTTTTTGCTTTGGTGGAATAAAATATCAATAAAATATCTAAATTCAATTAAAAACTATCAAATAAAAATCAAAACAAACAAAATTTCAATCCCTGTCTCCTTTCAATCCAGCCCAGCATCTCTGCAACTCCAGCTCTCCCTCAATTCCCATCTCTGCAACTCCATTTCATCCTATGGATTAATCAATTCCAACGATTTGTACTAAAAGAAATTATAAGAATGGGTTTTTAATCGGGAAACTTGGGATTTTGGGTTGAAATTGATTGAGTTGGAGGAGGGATTGTTCTTGGGTTGGGTGTGGTGGGGTGGTGCGAGAGGGGAGGATAGGTGGGGGTTGGCTCTAGGTAGGGCAATGGGGGGACTGTTAGATGGTGATCGATGATATCAAATTCCCACTTTCTATTCTAATCAACTCCTCGTTGCATAATCAAAGACTAGCTAATTAAATTCTAGTTAAAAGCAAATAGACTAATTATCAAAGATGGGCTAACTGCAATCAAATTTAGACTATAACCTTACTGTTAAAAACGTAGGCAAACAAAAATACCTTATACTATAGATGCAATTTGCAACTCTAACAGTAAGCTGCGAGCCTCACAAATCCAAGGTAGAGATTGCAGCAAAGAGTTAGAGAATCATCAATCCAATCCAGGCCTTATAGGAGCTTGCAGTGAAGCAAACGTAGGTTGAAGCTGAAGAGAGGGAAGAAGACACATAGTGGGTTTATGGTTGGGTTTGCGTCTGTCTCAGAAAGGTATGGGCATGCCTTTGCAAGTAACTCTGCCTGTCCTCCTCGAACTCCAATATTTCATGTAAAATTTATATTAAATTTGTAATTGTTGGGAAAGTATTGAAAAATCTATTGATCATGGATGATATCATGTTGGAACATGAGAAAGATTACGATTCTTCTGTAATCTTATTCTTCTCTATCTTGGAGGAATTTACAGGGGTAGACAAGACTTAATCTAGAAAAGATGTCAAATTCTTGATTATTAAAAAAGTAAGTAAATTTTTGGGCTTTTTTTTCCTGTTTAAAGACCAAAATCTCATTCTCGCCTTTTGGTCTTATTTTCCCACCCACATTTTTTATATATAAAAAGACGACATAATTTTACTCGATCAGTATGAATAACAATACAAAAGACACAAATTGTAAAGAGAGCCATCCCAATAAGCATATGGCAGACATGGGTAAAACTTCCAAGGTGACATGAGTCAGCCAAAAAATTGAAATGATCTTGAGAGAATCACTCTTGAAAAATAACTTTTCTATAATCCCTCTTAACTGCCATAATTTCCCTCAATCAAGTCCAATGACATTAAGGACAAAAACTAGCCAGTAACCGGCATGACTCTCCTAGAAAGACTAAGAACACCTAGCAAACTCAACTAAGTTTATGGAATCATTAGAGAAAAAAAAACGCAGAAAACTCATAGAATTTCTCGACTTGATTGAACAAATTAAACGAAAATAATAAAAAAAACTTAAACAACACCGGCAAATGGAAAACCAATCGTTGCTAATCTTCCTTCAGGACATGACACAGAGAGCGCCACCTAGTTACTCCATGGCCTCAATGCACCAATGAGTAGTGGGTCTACCATGACAAAGCACCAACACCTCAAAGAGCAGTCTCGCAAGATGAGGCACAACCAAAGCCAACCCAGATATGAGACAATAGATCTGTCAAGGGAAAAGTAGATTGACATAAATAGAATTATAAATTTACCTAGCCATCCACCTCCTTACACTAAACCTTCTAAATTCATCTTCTCAGTTAAACACTCCACTCACCTCTAGGGCTCGGATTTTCACACGAAAAACCTACCGACCCAACCTGAAAATTTGCGTAGAAAAACCAGCCTTTACAGTGTTGGTCGATTTTGGGTCTGTATTTGGGCCCGACCTGATGCAAAAGGTTGTCGGTTTATCAAACCGACCTGATATAATTATATATATATATATAATTCTTCTCCTCATTTTTTAGTTCAAGTGAGACGACTCGACATCTCCATATCTCTCTCTCAGTTGACTCGACAACAACACCACTACCAACCCCAACCTCAATCTCTCTCTCTCTCTCTCTCTCCTCTCTCTCTCTCTCTCTCTCTCAGTGATTGATTAAGAACATATTTTCTCTCGCTCTCTCTAGCTTCATCCACCTGCAAAAGACACAAGAAAGGTATTTTTGGGTTTGATTTTGAGTTGAGGTTTGGGAATTTCCAATTAGGGTTTTGATTTTTGGGTGTGGGTTGTAAATTGCATTTAGGGTATCAAATCAAGCATTTGTATTGTGATTTTAGGCAGGTATTGAATCTGTTTAAATGATTTTAGATTTAGGTTCTTTTAAGTATTTGAAAATTTGTTTTCATGTTTTTGTCTATGTTTTAGGTTGTGTTAAGTTTAGAATTTGTTTTAGGTTGTTTTAAGTTGTTTAGAATTTGTTTTCATGTTTTTTGCTCTATTTTAGATTGTTTTAACACCCTGACCCAATTTTAATTATCCATTTAAATTACTTAATTAAATTAATTGTGAAATTTACAATTTTGCCCTTAGGGGTAGGGTTATTTTGGTCACTTTTTAATTTGGTAAGATTTTGGGGAAATGAATTACACTATTGCATAGAGCGCGTCGATACAAGTTCGTAGACATGTAGTGGGCTCAAATTGAAGTTGTAACGAAGAAGTTACGATGAACGGAAGTGCAGTGGTACAATCGTAAATATTTCAAAGTCAAATTTTAAAAACCCAATAAGATTTCTTTTGCCTCTCTCTCTCTCTCTCTCTCTCTCTCAATTTTTAAAAACCTAACCAATATCCTTTGCCTCGAATTGATGACTTGAATTAAGGGGTGCCAAGTATTTTTCCTAGATTGATCAAAGTTAGAGAAGAAGACATTCCTAAGATGGCATTCAGAACTCGTTATGACCATTAAGAGTTCTTGGTGATGCCTTTTGGATTGACTAATGCCCCAGCGGCGTTTATGAATCTCATTAACAGAGTGTTCTGACCTTATTTGGATCGCTTTGTGATTGTGTTCATAAACAACATCCTAGTATATTCACGGAGTTTGGAGGCTCATAAGAAGCACTTAAGGTTAGTATTGAAGACTTTGAGGAGGAAGCAGCTGTATGCTAAGTTTAGTAAGTGTTAGTTCTGGTTAGATAGAGTGGACTTCCTCGGACATGTGATTTTGGCGGAAAGAATTTATGTGGACCCTCGAAAGATGGAAGCAGTAGTGAATTGGGTACAACCTACTAGTGTGACGGAAGTACGGAGTTTTCTGGGGTTGACAGGCCACTATCGTCATTTTGTGGAAGGTTTCTCTATGATAGTTGCACCTCTTACTCGGTTAACGAGGAAAGGAGTTAAATTTGTGTGGACGGAGGAGTGCAAATAAAGTTTTCAGGAGCTGAAGAAGCGGTTGACCATCGCACCTGTTTTGGCTTTTCCGAATAACACGAGAAACTTTGTGATCTACAGTGATACGTCATTACAAGGTTTGGAATGTGTATTGATGCATGATTGGGTGATTGCTTATGCCTTGAGGTAACTCAAGAAGCACGAGCATAATTACCCTATTTATGACTTGGTAGTGTTCGCCCTTAAAATCTGGCGGCACTACTTGTATGGAGAGACATGTTAGATCTTCACAAATCACAAAAGCCTCAAATACTTTTTCACCCAGAAGGAGTTGAACATGAGATAAAGACGTTGGCTAGAGTTGATTAAGGATTATGATTGTACGATTGAGTACCATCTTGGTCAAGCTAATGTTGTGGCGGATGCCTTGAGTAGGAAGTCTTATGGAAGCCTAGCTAATCTCATAATGGCTTACCTTCCATTGCATATGAGGCCTATTCTAGTTGAGCGGGTGATTGCAGCCCAATTAAAAGATCCAACATTTTGTATGATGACTGGAAGTTGAGAATGTACGCGTATGGATTATGCAGTGAAAGAATACCGAGCCTTGGTAATTGGAACTCGTCTCTGTGTACCCAAGAACAAAGACTTAAAGAGAGATATCATAGAGGAAGCTCATTGTTCAGCCTATTCTATGCACCCGGGTAGTACCAAGATGTATCGGCACTATGTGAGTACTACTTGTGGCCGCATATGAAGGGCGACATAGCTAGGTAAATGAGCAGGTGTTTGATTTGTCAACAGGTGAAGGCCAAGTGACAGAGACCATCCGGGCTCATGCAACCACTTCCGATCCCTGAATGGAAGTGGGAACATATCACAATGGATTTTGTTCTCAAACTTCCTCATACTTCGAGAGGGCATGACGGAATTTCGTTGATAGTTGACCGACTCACCAAATTCGCCCACTTCCTACCTATTAAAGAAACTTATTCCTTGGTGAAGCTTGCTAAGCTCTTTATGGATGAAATAGTGAGGTTGCATGGAGCACCCGTGTCCATTGTGTCGGACAGAGATGCAAGATTCACATCTTGATTTTGGAAGTGTTTACAGGATGCTATGGGTGCTAAGTTACGATTTAGTACTACTTTTCATCCATAAACTGATGGACAGTCATAAAGGACAATTCAGACTCTAGAGGACATGTTGAGATCTTGTGTGTTTCAGTTTAAAGATAGTTGGGATACTCATCTTGCTTTGGTGGGGTTTGCTTATAATAACAATTATCATTCGAGCATTGAAATGACCCCATATGAAGCCTTGTGTGGGAGGCAGTGTAGAAATCATATAAGTTGGAATGAATTCGGTGAGAGAAAATTAGAGTTATAAAGTATTGAAGAAACGATAGAGAAGGTGAAGATGATTAGAGAAAAGCTGAAAACTGCGCAAGACAGACAGAAAAGTTATGCAGCCAACAAGTCCAAAGATCTTGAATTTGAAGTTGGGGATTGGGTATTCTTGAAGTTATCTCTTTGGAAGGGGTTGATGAGGTTCTGGAAACGTGGGAAATTAAGCCCTCATTATATCGAACCTTATGAGATCACAGAACGCATCGGACTCGTTGCCTACAGACTTGCTTTACCTCCAGAACTATCTCGGATTCATGACATATTTCATGTATTTATGCTACGGAAGTATGTGCCTGATCCTTCCTATATCCTGGAACATCAACCTGTGAAGTAGGTTATAACTTACTTAATTAAATTAATTGTGAAATTTACAATTTTGCCCTTGGGGGTTGGGTTATTTTGTTCATTTTTAATTCGGTAGGATTTTCAGGAAATGAATTACACCATTGTGTAGAACGCATCGATACGACTTTGTAGACACGTAGTGAGTTCAAATCGGAGTTGTAACGAAGAAGTTACAATCAATGAAAGTATAGTGACACAACCGTAAATATTTCGAAGTCAAATTTTAAAAACCCAATCAGATTTCTTTTTCCTCTCTGTCTCTGTCTCTGTCTCTGTCTCTGTCTCTCTCTCTCTGTCTCTCTCTCTCTCTCTCTCTCTCTCCCCCCCTTCCCCCCCCCCCCCCCCCCCCCCCCCCCCCCCCCCCCCCCCAACATCCTCTCTTCTCGTGCGAAAATCGTGTCGTCCCTTCTCGGCCAATTTTCGGCTCCGTCCAGCAGCGGTTCGAGGCTCGGTTTTCACGGAAGTTGTTCTCCTCCTCCTCAACAAAACCAATATGATATCCACCCTTGAAAACCTTAGATTTCTCCAAATTTTGGATTAAAAAATCGATTAAAAACTGTCAATTTCGCCGTAAGTTACAGAGGTTGCCTCGGCCAGTTTCGGCCACCATTGGCCATGTTATCACACCCAAACCACTCCCCTACCTCTCTCTGTATTTTCCCTCAAAGACCAAACCCAATTTCAAGTAGAAATTGTCAAATCCAAAGCCAAAACTTTCTAGATTTTCTAAAGAGAAAATCGGTCGTTCAAGGCTCTTAACGGTTGAATTGATCTTCGAGCAAAGGTATAAAGTTCCTCCCCTTGATGTGTTTGATCTGTTGGCATGATTATTGGCCGACGGTTTGGAGTAATCTGATCGCCAGAAAATTTTTCTAAACACCCTCGGGCAGTGGCGGTGCGTCAGCAGGATGTCAAGGTTGGGTTTTTAAGCTAGAATGTTCCCCATGTTGTCCCGAGCACTGCAATATGCTCGAATTTGAATTTGGTTACCATTTGACTGTCAATCGGATTTACGCATATTAGGTGTTATCTGGGTTCGATAAGTTCAGACCGTTGGATCGACTCCATTTCCAAATATGTTGATCTAGGCACCTCTAGGATCTTATAGAAATTCGTGGATTGAGAATCAGAGTTCCGGATGCTTCGATTCAATGATTCAAAGATTAGGTAAAATGTTGACCATCCGATTGTGCGATGGCGAGCGATCTAACCGCTCAATCTGGACCAAACTTACTGGACGTGTTTAGTAAGCTTTGTTGAACCCATAGGAACTTATGGATCGGAAATCAAAGGTCGTGGGCCCCGCAGGCCCGTTTGACTGAATTTGAGAAGTTTGACCACTCGGTTCACCGAGCGTCTTCCGAGGTTATTCCACCATTCAAAATACGTAGTTGGACCTTAGGAACTTCTCGTTCGTAGTTCACACACTTGGAATCCCTAAAAAACTAGGGTTTTATTTTAAAGTTCTCGTTCGAAGTAATTTATTTTAATATAGTTCTCGTATTCTTAAATAAGTACTCCGACCTAGGATACTCAACAGACGGGACCCTCGCAAGGTCAAGCAGCGTTGGATTATCTGTGATTTCCATGATGGAAAGCTATGCATATTGATTTATTTGATTATTGAAGTTATAATATATTTAATTGTTGAAATACAATATTTGTATGAAAGTATTTGAAATATAATTGGAGATTTGCGGATTGTGATTATCTTGTATTGATATATGCTATTTTTGGATAGTACTATTTATATTTGGATGTGTGTGGGGTACATGGGTTTGTTGGAAAGAGATTATGGAATGTGAGTTGGGTAGTGGGTTATGTTAGTTTGAAGTGCTATTAGCACTACCCTATGTACCTCCGCGGTTTTGGAATACATGGATTCGATACTTGGAAACTTTTGGGATACTTGGATATGTTGGAACCCAGGCACCCTTGACGGGGTGTTTTGTAAACCCTTAGCGGGGTTAGTCTGCGCACGTAGGACTTGTCACAGGCGTACGAGTATTAAGGATTCTGCTATACGTGTTGGTGAGCCAGTCCCCCTGTTGGACGACTCGTTTCCTAGCCACATGGTCAATTGAGGATTCTTCCATGTGGTCTAGTCAAACAATCCCCCGGTTGGATTGTTTCCTCGGTACAAGTTTGGCAGTGGTCATACTTATATATATATATATACACATATACATTTATTTTTATTTGTCAGTGAAGATCTTTCCTCGCTCATCGTGCCGATGAACACGTGTTTCCATAGAATAGTTTGGGGAAAATGGGAAAGGTTTTGAATGGGATGGTGTTAGTATACCATTACGAGAATACTGATTTCACTTTGGTTTTGACCTAGCTATATATGTATATCTACATCGGTTTTGAATGCACGTTGTTTTCAGCATCGTTTTCCAAACGGTGGGGTTATTATATGTTGTTTTCAAATATAACAAAACTTTGTTTTTGTCTACTCACAATTTTTTATTTTGCGCCCCCCAAACAGTAGTTGAGTTGAGTTGAATGTCCTAGCCGAGATCTTAACTTCCCCCCGAACTTCTGTATGACAATCTCGTTTTTATTCCCGTTGAACTTTATATTTTGTTTGTAAGCTAAATTTATTTAGATATGCTCTGTTATCGCCTATGTTAGAGTTGAATGTGAGGCCGGAGGCCACTTATGTAAATTGCATGTCTCTACTTTGTGCATGATGCTGGTTGGGTTTATAATTGTGTTTTAACAAGTTGAAAATTTTGGGAAATGTTCATTTTTTCAGGGGAGACTCTACCGAAATTACTACAAGATCCGTCGCGGATTCCAAAGAATTCAGGGCGGGTCCTATCAAGAATGTTATAGTTGGTTGTTGGTTAGGGTTTTATTGTTGCATTTGCTTTGTTTGAAGTTGTTTGGAATATTTAAAAATCTGTTATAGCTGCCTCATTGGTTAGGATTTTGTTTGGTATATGATAGGAAAATGGATTCTAGCCAATCAAACACACTTAATGCCTCAATTATTACACATTCAATTCAACCCCAAGGGCAACTCCAAACATAATCCCAAATATAAGGCCAAGAAGAAAAAGTTGTATCATCTCGTTTGGGAGGGAAGAGGAAACGGAATAAGAGTACGGTGTGAGATCGTTGTACAAAAATTAGAAAGAAGGATTATATGGGGTTGAGAGAATAATTGGGCTTTGTAATTATTGCAAAGCGAAGATGCCGGCGGATCCTACAGAAATAGGACAACAGGGTTAAAAATCCACTTAGAAAGAAGATGCAAGCTTTTGTTTGGGCCTAATTTGGCACACCCAGTATAAAGAAATAAAAAAACCAATCTTGGTTTTTGGCAGCCACCAACATTGCTTTGAAATTGGGCCAAGAATACACACTTAGCCCAAAGCATTGAAGGCTCCAGTCCAGGATCTATCCAAAAGATGAAAACTTGGGCTTCAAAAAAGGAAATCAGCCCATAGCCTCAAACTGGGCCCGGCATGAATAAAACCATAAATCAGAAGACAGACCCACGTGACTAATCTGAACCAAAACTTTGAAGTTGTCAACAATTTCAACTGGGTTAATAGGGAGTAAATAAAAAAATAGGCAAAACAAGAAGAGACTACTCTGAAAAAATATGCCACCAGAAGATCAAATCCCTTCTTATAAAAATAAATTGTTTCTACTCCAGAGAGGGTGATTCTCCCAAGAGATAAGCAGGCCATGTTTTCAAAAGGAGATAAGCAGGAGGACATGAAGTTGTTCAAACTGGAAAATCAAACTAACCATCACGGTTTTTGAGCTCTCACAAGGAGCAGTTGGGAATTAAAAGGAGGGATAGGTTTTTCTTTCAAAAAACAGGGAAGTGACTACCATAGGAAATGACTGGTGAGAGCTTATCTACCAGAATTGATAAAAATCCATTTTTTCTTTGTATTTAAAATTGAGAGATCTTTTGATAAATTTTGCCGCCCATTATTAAAAGAATTGCCCTACTCCAGAAAACACTTCCTATAAATATAAGGGAGGGTGAACAGAAGAACACACTCAATTCATCAATCAATCAAACAAACAAAAAAATTAACCAAAAGCTCACTTAAACCACAAGAGAAACCAGCTTTAGATCAGAATTCCCAAAGTTCATACTTCGAAACATAAGTCATTCAAAACGAGATTCCTCTCGTTACAAATTTGGTTCAGCAAAAGCCAAGAACAAGCAGAGCTTCCCAAAGCCACTTATGTCCCTTCAGAAGCTTCCCAAAGCTTAAAGTAGATTAAAGCTCTACCAAAATTGAACTTTGGTATTGATTTATAGCTGAAGCTGAGCAGTTGAAGTTGTTAATAGTCCAGTCCAGCCCAGACATATCCAGTCCAGCCCGAATCAGAGTCTTCCATCTAGGCAGAAATGGAGTTCCAGCTGCCTTTTTGTCTATCTAGTGTTGATATGTATATTTATAGTTTTATAAAAGGCAATTCTGCCTAAAATAGTACAATTTCCTATCGGTTATTCTGGCCAAAACCATCGATTTTATACTGAGATAAATTGTGAAGTCTTCACCAGTCTGAGGCAAGAAAAAAACTTACTTGGGAGATATTCCTCACCCAAATTCGCAATCACTTGTTTAGAAATCTGTAACTTGAGGCTCAAGTTATCCATTTTTAAGAAGTCTGCTAGGATTTTCATTACTAGCAGTGGCATGCTCACACACCAAAGAAAGCTGACTTGTTGACCAGTCAATGGTTGCCAAGGCAGTGGAGAACTTTACCCTTGCATCTCAGAAAAAAAACATAAAACGGGTGAACAATTTGGCACGCCCAGTGGGACTTCTCAGTATATATACTCTGATAGAATTCTTCTCAAGTTTATGATTGGAAACTCTAGTCAAAACCCGCACCACGCCATGGAGCCAGGATACTCTCAATAATATGACAGCTATGATGCAATGGCAGGTTAATAGGCAGTTCAGGAAGGACTGTGGGGCTGCCATAACCAGAATTCCAAATCCGGATGCTGTAGTCCAATAGCTGGACCTTCTTTATGGCCCTCCACCAGGATTAGCATGGCCATACCAGGAGAACCCTCTCATTACACAAATAGCTGGAGTACCCGGGCATGGAGAGATCCAGGCTGGACAGGGGGTAGGAGCCCTTCCCATCCAACAACATGAGGCCCCAGTACGACCAGAAGGCCCTGTACCGGTTCAGGTCCAGCAGAACCAGCCAGAACCTCAGCCTATTCCATAACCTGTGGCCCCACTTGATCAACCTTTGGCACTTTTGCCTGAGCGACCAGCAGTGTTGCCCTACAGACTCAGAAGGATTGATGCCAATCCATTCCCTCCACCTGCGAGAGGCAGAAAAGGTAGAGGGAGAAACAACCTTTTTGCTAACGATGACAGGAACAGGCCGAGGGCAAACTGCAGGAACCATCCAGATCTAAAAGAGCAGGAAGAACACAGGAAGGAAGTTCTGCCCATACCATATAGGGCAGAGCCCAGGATTGATCACGTCCACCCAAAGCAGGGACAAAATCTGCACCCTGTCAATGCTTTGAATGACATGGGGGCACTACAAAGAATGATTAGAGAGATGATGGAGCCTGAAGCCAGAAGAGGAGAGAGGCCTACTTATAGAAAGCCATATCCGGCTGATATCAATCAGATACCTCTATCACCAGGCTTTAAGGTGCCAAACTTCACCTTGTTCAACGGAGATGATCCCCATGCTTCATCAGTTAAGCATATAGGCAGGTTCTCTGTCCAGTGCATAGCCATAGAAAACAACCCTCTATTAAAGCTAAGGCTTTTCAGGAATTCTCTCTCTGGACAAGCTTTCACCTGGTACACCTGTCTGCCAACCAATTCTATTCAAACTTGGGAACAGATGGAAAATATTTTCCATGACTATTATTACAGGATTCAGCCAGAAGTCATTATCAGTGACCTTGCTGCCCTCAAGCAGAGTGAAGAAGAACTTGCTCAAGACTTCATAACCTGGTTCAGAAAGCTCAAAATGAAGTGCCGGATTCCTATGGAAGAAAGACACTTCATCCAGATGGCTCAAGCCGCCCTCAAAATATCTTTGAGAAAAAGATTTGATGGGATGCTGTTTGGAGATCTGGCAGAACTGGCAGATAAAGCATCCAAGTAAGAGGAGCTGCTTAGGGAAGAACAACAGAAGAGGAACTCTTCCTAAGGCACGTATTATAAGTCACCTTCTTCTTCAATACATCTAATTGAGGTAGAATCAGAAGAAGATGTAGAAGGCTCGGAGGAAAGGGAGATTGCAGTGGCAAAGATGGCAAAGTTAAAACATCCCATCAGTTGCAAGGCCCTTACAAAGCCACCAAAGGATCAAAAGCCCCCACCATTCACAGGAGGATTTGTTCCAAACAAACAAACACAAAACAAGGTTTATTCATTTGATCTAACCAAGGTGGATGCTTTATTTGATGAGATGTTGCTACAGAAAGCAATAGAGACACCCCACAGATTGCCCAAGCCGGAAGAGCTCAAAGGCAGGCAGTATTGCAGGTGACACAACTCTTAGAACCATTCTACCAACAGTTGTGTTGTTTTCAAGGATGTTATACAGAAAGGAATAACAACATGAAGGTTGAAGCTGGTAGAAAAACCTTCATCAGTGACAACGGATCCTTTTCCCCAGCCGCAAGTCAACATGGTCAACTTAAATTGGCCAGAACAAAAGAGAAGCAGACCAACGACAGAAGCTAGCTCCAGCAGAGGCAGAAGAAACATAAGAGAGACTAGTCAAAGGCCAAAAGCAACCATATCAGTTGGGGTAGTGCTTTGCAGCAAGTGCAAGTGTGAAGCTGAGCTAGAAGTGGTCATGGACAGGCAAAATCAGCCCACACCTAGTGTTTTTGACAGAATTGGGACCTCATCCCGAGACAGAGTCAGACAAAACGTCTATCTTAGGCTTGTTCAGCACAGCAGAAGGAAGATAGAGCAGCCCAAGAAGGAGATACTAATTAAGATGCCCGGGAATGAAAAGCCTTTGGCAACTATCATAGAAGGCAGATGGTATTCTGTGGGGAAAAGTGGTAGACCAACTCTGGAGCTAACCAGAACTCAGAAGATGAGGGTTCAAAGGCAGTACTGCACATTCCTCAAGAGCAAGAGTAATGCACAGGTACTTCCAGAAGCCAGTTCTGCGAGAAAAGGGAAGGAACTAGAAGTGCCTCCTCTGGCAGAACAAACAACCTGCCAGACACAAAAGCTGGTAAAAACAGAATCTCCAGGCAGACCTCCTATCCATCCTGCCTCATCCTCAGTCAATCTGCTTGAGCCTTTACAAGTACAAGGTGAATCCGAACCTATCCCAGCAGAAGAACAAGAAGACTGGACTGGATAGTATGAAGAGGAGCAGCTGGATTATGAACCATCTGCAGATGATCAAAATGGACTCCTCGAAACAGGAGAACAAGAAGACTGGATAGAAGAGTACGGGGAAGAGCAGATGGAATATGACGGAGAACTAGATGAAAAAACTGAGGCTTTTGGTGTAGAATTGGAAAGCTTGTTGCAGGCAGATCTAGGCATTAACATGGTGTTCATCCTGCCAGAGAAGTTCATAGCAACAGAAGGACAAGAAAACACTCTAGAAGGACATGTTTTCTCCCAGGAAAGCTTTGAGTGCAGGTTGGCAGAAGTAGAGGAGACACCAGAATAGCAAACAGGCAATCCCAAGACTGGCGGAACTGCCAACAAACCTGTTGCAGAACAGCTTTGCTTCTCCAAACCAACGAAAGAGATGTCCAATCACCTCAGACCCTTATTTATAACAGCAAACTTTGGGGGTATTCCTATTCCCAAGGTCATGGTTAATGGAGGTGCAACCATTAATCTTTTACCCCACAGATTGTTGAGCAAGATGGGCAGAACATAGAAGGATTTGATTCCAACACGTCTAACTGTCACTAACTTTGTTGGGGGCATCACCAAGACTCATGGAATCCTGGATGTAGATGTCATAAATGGAACTAAGGAGATAAAGATTGCATTCTTTGTGGTAGACACCATTTCTACCACTTATAATGCACTGCTTGGCAGAGACTGGATCCACCAGAGCCTATGTGTTCCCTCCACCCTGCATAAGCAATTAGCTCTATGGAATGAAGAAGGTTATATGGAGATAGTAGAGGCCGATCCACGGCCATTTCTGCCCTCTGCCATGTGTTTTGAGGCAAGGTATTACCATGATGACCTTGGTCCTTTCACCTTCCTTGGAATGAACCAGAACGGCCGTCCCCATGGTGTCACGGCCTAGAGACCTACTTTCATTAGTGCACTGTTGAAAGAGCCACTTAAGAATGGACTCATTGCACTTTGGCGGGAGTTCAGAGATTGTTTTGCTTGGCATTATCATGAAATGCTAGGATTAGATAGAAAACTGGTGGAACACAAGCTGCCAATCAAGGAGGGATACCTTCCAGTCAAATAGGCCAGAAGAAGAATGTCTATGGACACAGAACTGAAGGTCAAAGAAGAGATAGAAAGATTTCTCAAAGCAGGATTCATCAGACCAGCTATTTATGCTGATTGGCTAGCCAATATTGTGCCAGTTCTAAAAAGAAAAACAGGGGCAGTTAGAATCTGTGTGGACTACAGAAATCTGAACGAAGCATCTCCCAAGGATGAGTACCCTATGCCAATGGCAGACATGCTAGTAGATGGAGCTGCTCATAACCAGATGCTATCTTTCATGGATGGCAATTCATGTTACAATCAGATTATGGTGGCAGAAGAAGACATCCACAAGATAGCCTTTATGTGCCCAGTACATATAGGTGCTTTTGAATACACTGTAATGCCTTTTGGCCTAAGAAATGCAGGAGCTACTTATCAAAGAGCAATAAATTCTGTTTTTCATGATATGGTAGGACATTCTCTGGAGGTGTATATAGATGATGTGGCAATTAAATCCCTAGAGGAGGGAAATCACGTATCACTTATCAAAGAGCAATAAATTCTGTTTTTCATGATATGGTAGGACATTCTCTGGAGGTGTATATAGATGATGTGGCAATAAAATCCCTGGAGGAGGGAAATCACGTATCAAATCTGAGAAAGGCATTCCTAAGGATGAGGCAACATAACCCCAAGAAATGTGTCTTTGGAGTCCAGGCAAGAAATTTCTTAGGCTTCTTGGTCCACCAAAGAGGCATAGAGGTTGACAAGAATAAAGCAAAATCCATCATAGAAGCGTTACCACCCCGGAACAAGAAAGAATTGCAGAGGCAGGCCACTCAAACTCTATATTTATGCATTAGAAGTGTCCATTGAAAGTCTGTTAGTCCAAGATAACAAGGAAGGAAAGGAACAGGCAGTCTACTATCTGAGCAGAACTCTGACAGAAGTGGAAAGAAAATATTCTGCAATTGAAAGACTTTGCCTAGCCTTATACTTTACTACTGTAAAGCTCAAACACTACATGCTACCATACACCATCTACATCATTGCCAAGACAGATCTAATCAAATACATGCTAACAAGGCCAATGTTGAGAGGCAGAGTTGGAAAGTGGACTCTGGCCTTGACAGAGTTTGCCTTCAGATACGTTCCTCATAAAGCTATCAAAGGTCAAGCTGTGGCAAATTTCCTAGCAGATCATCCAAGAGAAGAAGTCGAAAACATGGACTCTGTGGACATAGCAAATGCAAATCTGTTGACTAGAGCTCACACTTTCCTTAACAATCCTATCTATTCACTTCATCTCACACCTTGGAAGCTGTATTTTGATGGGTCAAAAATTGATATAGCTTCCGAGGCAGGGATTGTATTAGAGGAACCATTGGGAATCAGACATTGCTATTCTTTCCAATTAGATTTCCAATGCACCAACAACAAAGCTGAATATGAAGCTCTAATTATAGGCCTAGAAATGCTGGTGGAGTTAGAGATCCAATCTGTGGAAATCTTGGGAGATTCCATGCTTGTCTTGAAGTAGATTGCTGGAGATCTTAGCAGCACTGTTTCATTATTGTTGCTACAGACTATTTCACCAAATGGGTGGAAGCAAAGCCTGTTAAATCTACTACATCTCAAGAGATCATCACCTTCATAGAAGAGCAGATTATACAGAGGTTTGGCATTCCAGAATCAATCACAACTGACAGAGGGTCTTCTTTCATATCTAGAGATATCCTGGAATTCAAATTCAAGTTGCTTCAATCCACTCCTTATTATGCTCAAGCCAATGGACAGACAGAATCGAGTAACAAGGTAATCATCAATATTATCAGAAAAATGCTTGAGAAAAATCCAAAATAACGGCATGAGAAGTTGTCAGAAACTCTGTGGGCATATAGGATTTCAAAGAGAGAGGCAACTGGCATGACCCCATATGCTCTGACTTATGGCCATGATGCAATTCTGCCCATGGAGATAGCAGTCCAGTCTCTCAGAATTGCTCATCAACACAACCTAGTTGGAGAAGACTATTCTCAAGCCATGCTGCTAGAATTGGAAGGATTGGATGCAAGCAGGATTGATACCCTCAACAAACTCTTAGCAGGAACACAGGCTGTATCAAGGGCCTACAACAAAAGAGTTAAAAACAAAAGTTTGAAGAGGGAGAAATAGTCTGGAAAGCAGTTCTGCCCCTTGGAACACATGTAGCTGGTTATGAAAAGTGGTCACCTACATGGGAAGGTCCTTTCATAATTAAGCAGATCCTTGGAATGGGGGCATACATATTACAGGATCGAGATGGAGATGTCCATGCTACACCAATTAATGGCAAATGGTTAAAGAAGTTTTATCCAACTATGTGGGATTCACAGGCTGTGCAGACAGATCCTGGATTAGAGAGACAGCAAGATGAAACTATTGTTTGAGTTTCTGATCAATTTCATTTTTGTTGTAATTTGATAAGTATGCTTTTAATTTACTTTTTCTTTTTGTCAAAAGAAATCAAAATTTCCACATAAATAAATAAACTTTTATTTGAATATAGCCACTTTTTATGGCTAAATTGTTTATTACATGTCTAAAAACTATAATCTAAAACCCTGATTTCCTAAGGGTTTCTTGCAAATTGGCCTTCTGATGGAGAGTTTTTTCTGGAGCAGCACTCCTTGGTGAATTTAAGCCTCTACAAACTCCAAAGCTGGTCTGGAAGCTAAAACCATGCTTTGCACAAGGAAGGTAGCTTTGGTCTTAGAGCTCAGTCCAGCCCCAAGCCTGCTCTGCACCTCTCTACACTCTGCCAGTTGCTTTTGAAGCTCTTCAATCTACTTCTCCAGCTTGTCTGCAGTGGCCTTAGCCTCCTTATACCCTGCAACCATCTGATCCAGTTCTGCCTTCTGCTTTGCATAATCGGCCAAATTGGCTTATGAGTGGCTTTGCAGAACTCAGAGGTCTTGAAAGTTGGCTTGAGATCTTCATAGCGATTGTGAATGTTGAGTACATCTCTGGCCAGACCAAGACTCATTTCCAGTTCCAGCTCAGTAGATTGCCAGATCTTCACCCTTTCCATTGCCTCATCCACTACCTTACACCTTGCCTTTCCAGGAGTAGAGCTAAGTTTCTCCAGTTTATCCAGTTGAGTATCCAAATCCATGGCCTCAAACTCTGCTAGCTCCGGGTCAGCAAAGGAAGCAGTGGCAGATGAACTATGAATGGAATGGATAAGCATCTGCAAGAAGAACTCAAGTTAGCCCTATGCAAAATTTTGAAGCTGGGAAAATCCAAAATGAATAAACACTTACAACAACAATTGGAGGCCTCAAGGAACTGTTCATCCCTGACAGAACATCAGCAGATCTAGGCACTTCTACCTAAAAGAACTAAAACAATTAAAGAAACAGAACATAATTGCAGAAAAAATGTGGACAGAACTAGATTAGAATTACCATAACTTCAGGAGCAGCTGCAGTCACTTCCACTCTAGCTTCTGGAAATACAACAGGTAGTTCTGCCTGCTCCACAGGCTCTGATGTAGACTGATCTGCCTGCTCCTCAGCTGCCGGAACGGAAGTGGAGTATTCTGCTTCTAGATCCTCAAAGAGGGCCAACTCTGAGCTGGTCAACTCTGCCCTTGTGTTCTCTTGCTACTTCTGGGCCAAAGCGATGCTCTCTGTAATCACTTCAGCAGGAATTTCCTCTTGCAAACAGACAGAAGTCAGAAAACATAAGAGATAAAAGACAAATGGTTAAAAGACCAAAGACTCACCTCTTCTTCCACTGTCTTTGCCTTTTCTTGAGGTCCCTCTTCTACCTCTTCTAGCTCTTCCAACTCTTTCTCCTGCTCCACTGCCTTAAAGGCTTCTTTTAGCTCTTCATCTGTATCACAAGTAGTAGTGAAAGCTGCTGCAGTTGCCTCCGTGACCACATACCACCACAGTCCTCTTTTGACTTAGTAGGAGGGGAAGAGGGACTTTCAGTTGCAATGGACGGACAATAGGCCATTAGAAAATGACAAAACAGGACAAAATAGAATTATGAAAAGCTCAGAATGTCATAATTTACCTGAAGTCGTAGGTTGAGCGGCACTGTGCTGGGCAGAAGTAGTTTCCTTTCTTTTTCTTCTGCCAGAAGGAGTGACCTCAGCAGCTGGTTGCTCTGCCTGAGTTTCATCCTCTTCATCTCCAAAGGGAAGCTCCAGATCCCCAGCAGCAATGACAGAAGTAACTGCATGGGAAATAAACAAAGTCAGAAACCAATCCAGCAGGAAAAGGAAGAAGGAACAGAATGATGGAAAGCTTACCAATCACTTCTCCAGCCTGGACAGACTGTCCACCTATGTTTCTTGTCAGAGAAGGATCTGTTGCAGGCATAACAAAATGTTAGGCATCATCACTAAAAAAACAAAATAGGCAGAACAGACAGAATTGAAAGACTACCTTCTATGACTTGAGCATTGATATCCTTAATGGTCTGCACCATGAATTTGTAAGTCTCCTCCCCTGCGTGAACAGTCCAGGCATCCCAGCCATCAAAAAGCACCTCGAGTGCAGTGCTGGAAGCAGGCAGAACTGCAGGAATTGAGCTCCCAAGATGGATAAAAGGCATCTACACTATTATTGATCTTGTTTACTGCACACCTGGCGTACTTATGCACTTCCAGATCATCTACATCTCTCCAGAAAGTGGCCTGATTACAGCTCCAATATGATAATTTTGAGGCTGTGGGCAGCCAAGTTGTCTTGCGCAGAAGTTGGGATGATAGACTTCTGCCCCAAAATGATAATTTGGAGGCTTTCCTCCTCCATGGGGCAAGTCTCTTGGCAGGGTAACACTTAGGAATTTCTTCCTGAAGTCTGTTCTGGCAAATTCCTCTTCTGGCTCCTTTCAAATAGCCGGTATCCACGCCAGAACCAAGGATAGGTCCTTCTGATCACCACTTGCCACTGAGCTGCTAACCTTTTTGTACAGTGCCTGAAGAACATCAGGTACTCTTCAATGGAGCGCTTGGGCACTTCTGCTGATATCAGTAGTTGAGCCAGAACCTGGTCTTCAGACAGAACTACATCTGGAAAACTCAGCTCTGGGAAGTAAACATGCAGCCAGATCTGGATCATCCAAAATGCACCGAGAGTATATAGGTTCATTGGATTCTCCAAAGTGGCAGTATGTAAATTCTTGAAAAGATGAGCCAGAACTGTGGGGCCAAGCCCCACATCAATATAGTTATGAAGCACTTCTGCCAGATGCCTATATTCAAGTAGGACTACCGAGGAGCGATTTGGGAAGACAAATCTGTTCAGCCAATACAGGAGAAACAGCATGTGCTGCTGATTCTTGTCCTTCTCAGCACTAAACTTTCTCAAGTAATTGGAGAAATAACAGTTCTGGTTGATCATAGCTGGAGAGATGGTGAACGGTTTGGACAGTTTCTCCTGGTTCTTCCTCTTGTGATAGTCACCAACAGCATCTACAGGCCTCCCATTGGGCCTGAACCTAAAGATTTGAGCCATGTCCAGCAGAGTTGGAGCCATAGGGCCTACACGAAAATCAAAAGTATTGTTGGCAGAATTCCTGAAGCAAAAAGCATCAGCTAGGAGGTTCTCATCCCTATTGATAGACTGCTTGGATAGAAGTATGGCATCATATATGCCAGCCCTCCTCCAGTGAGCTCCATACCTTGGAAGGAGCCTGTCAATCCAGTCCGCCCACTTGACTGGACTGTTTCTCACTTCGCTGGATGGGGAAAGACCGGCTCAGATTCTTGTTGACCCATGAGTGAGAAGCCAAGGCAAAAGTACTCTGGAAACACAAAGGCACTTCAGCATCCTTTTTTATTAGCTCCACCATCTCAATCGGAACATAACCAAACCAGTGAGGTCCCAAGACCAAAGTGTTCTCGAATAGATAAAGGACATTTTCGTCCAGGTTTTTCTTGGCAAAGGGGTGGAGCTTGCTCCTGACCTCTATCGCATGGTTGTCAACCCCAATCCCGATGATATAATCGGGAGGGACCGAGGAAGAAGAACCCTGGGTGCGAGTTTTTGGAGAAGACATGATCATAAAATTTTGAGCTGGAACAAAGGGAAATGGCAAGAAAGGCAGAGTCTGATCGAAGAGAAGAATAAAATTCTGGGGAAAACTGAGGAAGTCAAGGTCTGAGGAAAAAAACTAGGTTTCTGAGTGAACAAGAACTTTGAGTTTGAAATTCTTTTAAAAAGGGCTCAAAATCGAAGAAGAAGAAGATGATGCGACACTTGATGATAACTAGCTAGTAATGAGCTAGTAACTGAACAGTTTCCCACGAACTCTAGCTCAGTAGGAAGACGTGGCAGACCTGGCCTAATTTGGCACACCCAGTATAAAGAAATAAAAGGCCATCTTGATTTTTGGTAGCCACCAACATTCCTTTGAAATTGGGCCCAGAATACACACTCAGCCCAAAGCATTGAAGGCTCCAGTCCAGGATCTATCCAAAAGATGAAAACTTGGGCTTCAAAAAAGGAAATCAGCCCAAAGCCTCAAACTGGGCCCGACATGAATAAAACCAGAAATAAGCAGGGTGATTCTCCCAAGAGATAAGCAGGCCATGTTTTCAAAAGGAGATAAGCAGGAGGACGGGAAGTTGTTCAAACTGGAAAATCAAACTAACCATCACGGTTTTTGAGCTCTAACAGGGAGCAATTGGGAATTAAAAGGAGGAATAGGTTTTTCTTTCAAAAAACAGGGAAGTGACTACCATAGGAAATGATTGGTGAGAGCTTATCTACTAGAATTGATAAAATCCCTTTTTCTTTGTATTTAAAATTGAGAGATCTTTTGAGAAATTTTGCCGCCCATTATTAAAAGAATTGCCCTACTCCAGAAAACACTTCCTATAAATATAAGGGAGGGTGAACAGAAGAACACACTCAATTCATCAATCAAGCAAACAAACAAAAAAAATAACCAAAAGCTCACTTAAACCACAAGAGAAACCAGCTTTAGATCAGAATTCCCAAAGTTCAGACTTAGAAAAATAAGTCATTCAAAACGAGATTCCTCTTGTTACAAATTTGGTTCAGCAAAAGCCAAGAACAAGCAGAGCTTGAGTTTTCACAAAAATGAAAACCTCAACAAATTTTACAATGCAGTCCCAACTCATCAAATCCTCAAGAACAGCCACTTCCGTCCCTTCAGATTGCAGAACCTGTAGTTATGCCCGTTCAGAAGCTTCCCAAAGCTTGAAGTAAATTAAAGCTCTGCCAAAATTGAACTTTGGTATCGATTTACAACTGAAGCTGAGCAGTTGAAGTTGTTAACAGTCCAGTCCAGCCCGGATCAAAGTCTTCCATCTAGGCATAAATGGAATTCCAGTTGTCTTTTTGTCTTTCTAGTATTGATATGTATATTTATAGTTTTATAAAAGGCAGTTCTGCCTAAAATAGTACAATTTCCTATCGGTTATTCTGGCCATAACCATCGATTTTATACTGAGATAAATTGTGAAGTCCTCACGAGTCTGAGGTAAGGAAAGAACTTACTTGGAAGATATTCTTTACCCAAATTCGCAATCACTTGTTTAGAAATCAGTAACTTGGGGCGCAAGTTATCCATTTTTAAGAAGTCTGCTAGGATTTTCATTACTAGCAGTGGCACGCTCACACACCAAAGAAAGTTGACTTGTTGACCAGTCAATGGTTACCAAGGCAGTGGGGAACTTTACCCTTCCATCTCAGAAAAAAACACAAAACGGGTGAACAGCTTTCTCATAAATGTGATGCAAATCAATCTATGTTGGCACAAAAGATAGGGGGGAGGGGGCAATGAATAGTGTTTTGGTGCCTTACATCTTCAATCAAGCAAGATTGGAAATGAAGTGTGTGAAGTACATCATCAAGGATAAGTTCCCTTTTAGGGTGGTGGAGGGGTCGAGGTTTAGGGATTTTTTCCATAATCTTCAACCTAGATTCATGATCCCTAATAGGAATAAGGTTGCTAAGGGAGTGTGAGATTTGTCATTAGTTGAGAAGACTAAGATTATGAGTGTGATAGGTGATTAAAGAATCACAACCGATACTTGGGCCTCTGTCCAATGAATCAACTACATGGCAGTCACCATTCATCTCATGGATCATGAATAGAACTAGTATAAAAGGATCATAAATTTCGTTAAGATCACAAGTCATAAGAGGGATGAGATTAGGAGGTGTTTAGATACTTGTTTGAATTATTGGGGGATAAAGAAGTTGTTTAGCATTACAGTTGATAATGTTAGTGCAAATGATGGGGCGATGGAGTATATGGCCAAGAGGTTGAAGTCCTTTAACACTCTTATGCTTGACGCAAGGTCTAAAATATTGATGGTATCAGAAATTCGGTAGTCCAAAAATATGGAAATGTTGATGGAAATATTGGGATATTATCGGTATCAATAAAAATTGAATAAAAACCACTGAAATTGTTAGAAAAACTTGGAAATTTTTATTGAAACTTTGGAGGATGTTTATTTATCAATTATCTATTAGTTGATCACAAAAAATTGGAAGGAAATGCATTGCATGATGGGTTTAACTGATTTAAGTTGATTATATAGTGAGTTGACAAACACTGTAAATGTAGAAAATATGTAGTAATTAATGAAAGAAGATTAAACACCCCATAATCATTTATATATAATGATTTACTATAATATTTTACACTTCATATATTGCATTGTAAGATACATGAGTGACTTAGTATCACATAAAGTTCCTCTTTGCGTATTTTCACAAAAACATAAGCAACATGGTGATTAAGACGTTGGAGGAGTAAAATGGCAGGGGTTCAAACCCCTTTGCATGTGTGCTTTGTGTTTTTTTTTCTTTTTTCTATTACATCGATATTTCAATATTTTCGATATTTTCGATATTATAGCGATATTTTGACAAAATATTACTAAATTGTGAGTGAAATTATCGACATCGATATTTTCTGATATTATCATCAATATTATCGATATTTATACGATATGTGTATGGATCCGTTCCGAAATATCTGTGACCCGAAAAAACGATAATATCCTCGATATTTCATCGATATTATCGATATTTTAGATTATAGCTTGATGGTAAATATTTTCATATGAGGTGTGCTTGTCAAATTCTTAATTCAGTTATTAATGATGGGTTGAAGGAGCTTTCTAGCTCAATTGAGGGGAGAAATTGTGTAAAGTACATACATTCTTCACCATTAAAGTTAGATAAGTTTAGGGATTTTGCTATTTTAGATAGCATGGATACGATGGTAAACATTCATTTGGATATGGGAACAAGGTGGAATGCCACATATAAGTTGCTTGATGATACATTTAAGTATAAGAATGTGTTTACTAGGATGGTGGAAGAGAATGCTCAATTTATTGCTTACTTTAAGGAGCTTGAGAAGGATGCAAAAAGGAATCCTGTGAAGAGAGTTGGGCCACCAACCGAGTCGGATTCGGAGAATGCACAAGTCTTTGTGCATTTTCTTAAAAAAATTTATGAAACCACCCTAAAGCTTAGTGTCACCAAAACTTGTACATCCAATATCATGTTTACCGAATTGGTTGGGTAACAAGTTGAGATTGAAAGAAAAATGAAAGATGAAGGGGATGAAACTTTGCAAAGGGTGGCTTCTTTAATGAAGCTCAAGTGGGACAAGTATTGGGGCAGCTTTGAGGGTTTATAGGGAATGTGTTAGACCCTAGATGGAAGCTTGCCATGCTCAAGATTAGCTTCCACAATCTTGGAGCCGAACCTTCAAAGGTTGAAGCTATTGGGGATGAAGTCGAAAGTTCCTTGCTCACTTTGTATAATGAGTATAGAGGGGTGAGTAGTTTGGGTCCTCTACAAAGAGGAAGAGGATGGTTTGGAAGATGAGCTTGATGGTGATGATGCTCATTCTCATTCTCAAGATATCCAATCCTTTCCAAGGTTTTCAAGGACATATTTGCATTCCGTTCCTCTATGGTTGCTAGTGAGAATGTCTTTAGCCTAGACAAAAGGATTGTGGATCCTTTTAGAAGCTCCTTGACTCCAAAAATGGTAGAGGTATTAGTGTGTACTCATGATTGGCTTAGGGTGGACGAATTTAACTTATACGAGGCACCAACGGATGAGGAAATTCCTTTTATAAGGAACTTGAAGAAATTCAAGTAAGTAAGATATTTCAATCATTTATCTTTAAATTTTTTAGATGCTTTGATTGTTTAATGCTTCTAATAATATGTGCATATTCCTCTTTTTTTACACGTAGTGGCCTCCTCCAACTCCATTTTGCCTCCTCCAACTCCATCACATTTGTAATGCTCAAGTTCTATGCACAAGTCAAGTGCCTACTTTTGTTTGAGTTGTAGACTAATAAAACTTCTACTTCTGTTTGGGTTATAAATTAATTCAAAACTTTTTTTTTTTTTTTTTTTTTTTTTTTTTTTTTTTTTTGGGGTTGTAAGTTGTAACTTAATGTAACTATACTTCGGATTTGGGATGTTTAGTTTTAGGCTTCAATATATGTTTTGAGCATGTTTAATTGTAGTTTTTGGCTTCAATTTCGCATTTTATCATGTTTGCTCCAGTACAATTGTCCAAATAGTGCCTAAAACACTGCTCAACAAAACTGGGCTTAAAAACTGCATTCAAATCCCAAATTACAACCTAGAAAATGTGAAGTGGGCTAAAAAAATTGGGTCAAAAAAGTCCAATCTGTTTGTTTCGGTAGGCCAACCACCAAACTAGCCCAATCGCTACTTGCGGTATTATCAAGACGCTTTTTTTTTTTTTTTTTTTTTTTTTTTTTTTTTTTTTTTTTTTTTTTTTTTTTTTTTTTTTTTTTTTTTTTTTTTTTTTTTTTTTTTTTTTTTTTTTTTTTTTTTTTTTTTTTTTTTTTTTTTTTTTTTTTTTTTTTTTTTTTTTTTTTTTTTTTTTTTTTTTTTTTTTTTTTTTTTTTTTTTTTTTTTTTTTTTTTTTTTTTTTTTTTTTTTTTTTTTTTTTTTTTTTTTTTTTTTTTTTTTTTTTTTTTTTTTTTTTTTTTTTTTTTTTTTTTTTTTTTTTTTTTTTTTTTTTTTTTTTTTTTTTTTTTTTTTTTTTTTTTTTTTTTTTTTTTTTTTTTTTTTTTTTTTTTTTTTTTTTTTTTTTTTTTTTTTTTTTTTTTTTTTGTGTTTAAGAGGGCTTTCGGTTTTAAAGCGGATGGTGACTCATCTGCTGACCCCTCCAACTCTTCCCCTTAAACACGTAGAACTCTTGGCTGTAGTCGGACTCTTAACCTGTTAATCGCTGTCGTTCCCCTAACAACACCAGGCCTGTCATCACACACAGTAATGCTTTAATTTTGGGCTGTGAATTGTTATCGGCACCATTTCAATACACAATTCAGGGCCCCAATAGGCCACAGGGCTAAGGCTTTAAAGCCCGTCAAGATCACCAGTTCAAGGGCCCAAATAAAGTGTCCTCCGTCTAATGTGATGCTTACACAATAAGAAACACGCGCGATTTGTGGCATCAGGAGCGCCGACAGTTCTCAGCATAGCGTTGCCCACATGCCCGCCAAAAACACACGCCACGCTAAGCAAGGATTATCATTCGCACCTAATCCCGCCACATAAGCTAATGGGCCCAAGCCACTCAATATCCTGGCTTGCTTGAGTAGGGATGTGGTATGGGGGTGAATAACTCACCTGAGACCCATTGATGGACCGAGAAATGGAAAGTCCGGGTTCTCTTGGAGCCCTCGAGACTCAAGCCCGTTTCTTAGCCCAAACATGGTGGAAGCACAAGATAGAAAAGTACCCAATACCCAAGCACAACAACTCCAACCAAAATAAAGCCCAACCTAGAAGGCCCAATGTTTAGTAAAGCCCTTTTGCTTAGAAATCCCTTGGCCCATTAAAAATGCCTAAAAATAGCCCACAAAACCTCAGCGTTTGGCGAAAGCAGCCGGACACGTGAAGGCAGATGGCAGAACATCCTTAAGCAAAGCTGCTGGAAACCATCTCAACCCAGACCATCAAAGAACCGATGAATACCATCCACGCATGCGTCGAAGCATCCCTTGGACCACATTTATTTTCACCTCTTTCCTTCGTCAGATTCAGCCAAGGAGCGGAAAAAAGAAGAAAAACCAGCAAACCAAGCGTGGAAGCTCCCATTTTGCACAGCCCGAGGAGGATGTTGAGAACCCCCAAATCCACTATTCATGAAAATCGACAGACGCAATCTTTGCCAGAAGGTAAGTCCGAGAAAGAGGAGAAAGGAAGAAAAGCTTAGCCAATAAGTAAAACCATTAGGGTTTCTTTAAAACTGGTGATTTCCCGGCGCTATAAATTGCCTTCCCTCCCAAACAAAAACAATCCACAACGTGCGAGAGCAAGCTTTTCTTTCTCTCTTGCAAAAAACTCAGACTCGTGCCCTATTCAGCTTCTTCTCCAATTTGTTTTTCTGGCAGCTGCCAGAAGACTCTGCCTTTCTTTTTCCTCTTGTTCCCTAGTCGAATCCTCACAAAACACCTCATTCTTACTTAAACACTTTCTTTTCTCATAAACCAAGCCTAATTCTCTCTTAGTGCTAAACCCATGTGATTTTGCTCCCATGCCACATGCCACTCATGCTGAGCTGAAAAGAATATCTGTAAGCATGCCAAAAACTATCTGCAAGTTACCATTATTCTCGTTGGTGAATAACCAAAATACTTCTAAGGCTCTACCTGCCTTTTCGAGGTATTTTGGGGCTTAATTTTCGAACTCAGGCTCAAGGGGCAATTTTTCCATTTTGCCCTTTACGGCAGTCAGGCCGTAATAGCTGCCGGAAGAAAAAAGCCCCTACACTCGGAAACTCCGTTACCGATCGGCAAGATACACAGTCATCAACGATGTTATGTACAAAGCGAGGCTACACGACGCCGTATCTAAAATGCCTGACCAAGGAGCAGGGGGACTACATCCTTCGGGAGGTCCACAGTGGAATCTGCGGTGACCACTCTGAATCCCGATCGCTCGCACACAAGGTCTTCCGACAGGGTTATTTCTGGCCGACTCTGCACCAGGATGCGAACACATTAGTCAGGAGGTGTGACAAATGCCAGCGGTTCGGTAGTGTCCCTCATATTCCTGCCGAGCCGCTGTCACCGATCGTGAGCCCGTGGCCGTTCGCCCAGTGGGGATTAGATCTAATTGGTCCGATGCCAGAGGGCAAGGGTCAAGTCAAATACGCCGTTGTTGCCGTAGACTACTTCACCAAATGGGTAGAAGCCAAAGCCCTAGCGACAATAACGGCAGCCAGAGTCGAAGATTTCGTCTGGACGAACATTTGCTGCCGATTCGGCATCCCCTACGCCATCGTCACGGATAACGGCAGGCAGTTTGATTCGGAAGTCTTTAGGGAATTCTGCACCCGACTCAAGATCAACCTGTTCTTTGCTTCGCCAGCACACCCCAATCGAACGGACAGGTCGAAGCCATGAACAAAATTGTCAAGAAGCTGTTGAAACGGCAGCTTGACAAAGCCAAAGGAGCCTGGCCGGAAAAGCTTCCAGAGGCGCTATGGGCCATCCGACATCCTACCGAACGGCAACGGGGAAACACCATTCTCCATGGCTTTCGGTTCAGAGGCAGTAGTCCCCAGTAGAAATCGGAGAGCCTTCCTACCGAACGGAAACCTTCGCACCGAAGGCGAATGAGGAGCGCTGGCTTTGAGCCTCGACCTGCTCGAAGAACGCCGAGCACAAGCCAACCTTCGAACGAAGCTTACAAGCAACGCGTCTCTCGGTACTATGACTCCAGGGTCAGATCCCGCTCTTTCCGAATCGGAGATTGGGTCATGCGGAAAGTCTCCTTGGCAACCAAGAATCCCACGGAAGGAACCCTCGGACCTTCCTGGGAGGGACCCTACGAAATCATCGGTATCCAGCGATCGGGGACTTATCGACTCAGAGACTCCAACGGAAAGACCCTCGGTCATCCTTGGAATGTAGAGCATTTGAAGTACTATTTCAAATGAAGTCACCCTGGCCTACGGCAGGGTCACGGAGGAGTCCCAAAAGCCTCGGCATCTCTACAAGCACCCTTCGGCATGTAGCGTTTCCTAGCCAACGGCGGTTCTAAATTGTAAACGCACCCTAAATTGTACTTTTGCCTTCGGCAGTTTATCAATGGAAGGGCCTTCGGCAGTTTATCAATGGAAGGGCCTTCGGCTCATATATCAGAACCTTGTTGTACTTTTCAAACTCTCTCATCTTTGTTCAAAAAAAGATACGGTATGGACCATCGGTCGCAGTGAACTACACATTTTGGCATCGCTATTATCCTACCGATTAAGGGACAACCTTGTAGGCTTTATTGACCTTTAAAGGCTTTCGGTAATTACGGGCCGTTGCTTTGCCATCGGCAAGCACGCCTATTGATTTCAATTCCCTAACACTTGAACTTTTTGCTTGAAAGGAAACTTATTGGCCCACGGCAAATGACTTTTGTTTGAGAGCCTTCGGCATTAAACAGAAAAATTTCCTAAGTACATTACCGATACAGAAGTAAGATGCAATTAAATTAAAATCAGAACGCAACTTCAACAAAAATATGCCCACGGCATCAATTATCCAAACAAAAGATGCCAACGGCATCAGAGTTGCAACGAAATTACAAAAAATGCCCTCGGCATCAAATTACATAAATTAAAAGCAGGTGATAAGGATGAAGGGCCTTCAGGTGGTCTCCTCGGCATCCGCCCCTTCGGCACCAGTAGCGTCGGGCTCCCCCGGAGCATCCTCCCCTTCGTACTCCTCAATCATTTCTTCTGTAACGCCTTCGGGAAGGGGAGGAGGATCGGCAATGAAGTTCAAGTTGAGCTTCGTCCCAGGATTGTACCGCTTGAATCGGTAGATGAGATCCACCATCTCCGAGCCCACCTCCTTGTCAAGCAAGGTAGAGAAATCGGGAGAGTAGCGATACTTCTGAATGGCCTCCTGGACGACAGCCTCAATCTCCGATGCTTTGGCCCGCTCCGACTCCTCTAGAGCCATCTCAACGGCTTCCTTCACCTCCAGAGCCTCTTTCGCCGATAGCTGTGCCGACTCCAGGGCTGATGACAGATCTGCGAACTTGGACTCATAAACCCTGACCTGCCATTCGGCAGCCTGCAAATCCTTCGCCAGGTTCGCATGATCTTGGATAGCCTTGCCAGCCTCGGCAACCCTGGCCCTACCGTCGTCATAGGCCTTCTTCGCCTTCTCGGCAGCGTTGATGGCCCGCTTCATGCAAAGCCACATGTCCATTGAAGCCTGCAGAACAAAGGCACGTCAGCCAAAGTATAAAAAAAAACGATCGGCAAGCTGAACCCTGGAATACTCGGGACTTACCGATGCTTAAAGACGGAAAGCGCGACCCGCCTCCTCTCGAAGGAGCTTCTTTGGCAGCTCCTCGATCTCATTCAGCTCCATTTGCGAACCAAGGATCATGTGGTTCGCAAACTGGACCGTCTTCGGCGGACAGGCCAGGGTGACGGGATCGGCAGGCTCCTCGTCGTTGTCAGCAGCGAAGATGGCCCGAGGAGGCTCGGCCTGCCGTCCGCGTTTTGGGGTCGGTTCGGCATCTAGGTCGACGGTAAAGGGCCGTTTGTTGGCAGCTCGGGAGGAAGTCCCTTCGGTAGTGGCGCCTCGGCGAGGAGAGGGGCCGACCGCTGCCGGAGACGATCAGCCAGAGTCTGGTCCTCGGGGTCTGCCGATGCCGAGCCCTGCGGCTGGTTTTTCTTTTTCTTCCCCTGGAAGCCCATCATGAGGCGGCGCTTGGAGGACTCGTTCATCCTCTTAGCCTCGGCAGCTCTCCTCTCTTCCGTCACTGCGAAAAGAGGGTTCGGTAAGACCCGCAAAAGAACACAATTTGTAAATTACGAAGTATACTTACTCTCGGCAGGATCGACCAGCTGGGCCTGAATCAAATTGGTGGTGAAGAGGAACTGCGGATACACCCTCTCCTCGGCAGGGACTTTTCTCCTCACTCTCTCTACTTGCTGGATCTCGGCCTGCGTTGCGATCGGCTGCTTCAACTTACCTACAAGAAGAACAGACAGGAAAGATCACTTACGGTAAACGAGGAACCCAAAGAAGGTACCGAACGGCACGTGGTCCTACCGGCTATTTGGAAGGTTGTGGGAATGCGAAATCGGATAGGCTGTCCCGAAGGCGACTCCCAGTCGCCCGAGAGGAGCACCCGCCGATTCCTCCATGACTTCTGTGAAGTCGGTACCCAGCTGACAAAGTGGCCACGATCGGCAGCCCTGAGACAGTTCGCCTGCACCCATCCGCCGTGATCGGCACACTTGGACTTGGTAATGCTGTAGAGATGAGAGAACTGTTCATAGGAGGGGCTCCCTTCGCCAGCCATGCCGAAGGCCGTTATCACTCCCATGAGGGCCACCCAGAAGTTGGGGTTGAATTGCCCCGGGGCATAGCCGATCTGGGCTAGGATCCTCTGTACCGCCGGCTGCAACGGCAACCGAACGCCTTGCACAAGGACGTCGGTAAAAAGACTACCTCGCCGTCCTTCGGCGTACTAAGAGATTCGGTAGGGCCCGGGATCCTCATCCGTACCGAGTCGGGGATGCGGTATTCCGCTCAAAATCTGGCAATCTCCCGATCGTAATCTTGTTCAGCCCAAGATAGTCGACGCCGAATAAATTTTCCTTCGGCACCCCCATGGGCATCCTAGGATTGCTTGGGTATACTACCGATACCCTAGGCCCAGACGGTGGTTTAGCTGCTGACTCTCCACGGCTGGAAGTGGAGGTCTCTGACTGACGGCTACCGCTCGCCTCCCTAGGCATGCCGAGGCCCACGTGGCGGCCGTCACTATAGACGATTGACAATGGGACGGGAGCGATCATTAGCCCCTTTCCGACTCCGTGTGTTGGAATGGAGCTGGGCCCTTCGCCGAGTATCTCGACGTCGATATCACTCCCACCCTCGGCATCAGGCCCTGCCACTTCGCCGTCGGAGTCAAGAGACCGTCCGATGACTCCTCATCGAACGCATTGGGCTCGCGCTCGGAGAATGACTCGCTATCAGACATCTACAAAAACAGGGAAAAAGGAAACTAAGGCTCATGCCGGATGCTATCCTACCGATCCCTACATCGCTACCTATGGCGACTAGACTACCGAATGGAACCCTATGGTCAGTCTAGTTCGAACCAAGGAAGGACGTAACTCTTAAAGCATGCAGCAGATTAAAGAGAAAAGTGTCGAACGGTACCTTAATGTGTACTCTGGAAGATCGGCGCGATCTGCTCTTCAGAATGCTTCACTACCGTTCGCATATCGGAATCGCCTTTCCTACCGTTCGAAACGCCGGAATCGTTTGGTTACCGTCACACTCGTCGGAAATCGCTTGATTACCGGAAGCCCTCGTCCGAAATCGCCTCAAGCAGAGCTCTCACTTCTCACTAGATGCAAAGTGAATTCGCCTCCGGGGTCATCCCTATTTATAGGGGGTGGTTGGCAACGGTACTCCTCGAAAAAACCAAACGGCGCATTAATGCGCCGCGCGCCATCATTACTTTCGCCACGTGTCGCTCATCCTGTGGGGAACGGACGGCACGCGAGGCGCGGAAGTCGAAGCGCTCAGATGTCCCTTCACCCGTCAGCTCGACGCGACCTTCTGACTTCGCCAACGTCAGCCTCTGAACTGATAATGCCGGAAGGGACAAGTTTTAGCCCCTTCCCCCGAGTGGGTTACCGAACGGTAGGGCCATAGTTCCTTCCGAAGACAACTTCAAATCCCCTTCCGAGGACTCTCGCAAGGGACTTGGGGGACTCCTGTTTATACCAAAATAAATAGCCAATGAATGTCGTACACGTGGGCTAAACCAAGGCCATGGGGTGCCTTCGGCACCCGCCTTCGCTACAAGACCTACCGATCGGAACATTAGGGCAACCTCGCCCCCTTGGACGCGTGGCAGTCCCACAACTGACGTCCAAAGTCCCACATCGAAATTCTAAACAAATTGCACGCCTCCCAAGGCCTATAAAAGAGGACAACCATCCCAGCTTGGAGATAATCAATCAGAACTTACGGCATATTGCTATTGATCTGTAGTTCAAACTTACTAAATTCGTACTTACTTAAGCATCGGAGAGCCTTCGGCCGGTACCACACCGGTGCCCTAGGACTTACCATGTGTTTGCTATCTTACAGATCGCACACCCTACCGAGGACATCAGATACCGAAGAGACTTAATCACTAAGTTGCGCGGGAAAGTGCCGAACCATTTTTCTGCGTCAACAGCGGTGATGGCGATGGTTGTGTAGCTCGTGGCCCTGGGGAGAATGGGCTCTAGTGGTTTGCTCTTTTTTTCTCACAAAGTCTTTCCAAACACGTCTTTCCACCACAACTTCAAAAGTAGAATTGCCGTTCATGCATAGGGTTGTCACTAGGTTTGTTTGGTGGCTGGATTTGATTGGATATTTTCAATTAAAATGGACATAGATCCTAGCCATTGTTTGGTGAATTTAAGTGTTTTTCAGACTGGATATGGGCATGGGATTCATGTCCCAAAAACTATAACTCTAGAACCCAAGCCCAGATCCGGGTTTAGAATCCGACGCTTTTCCAAGCACGCCTCTTCTCTCTTCTCTGCGAGACCGAGCCTCTTCTCTCTGCGAGACCAAGCACCCCTCTTCTCAAATTCTTCTCTTCTTTCTCTTCTCCTCTCTCCTTGCTCTCCTCCTCTCTCCTCTCTCTTCCTCCATCCCCTTTAGTCTCTGCATCAGAGAAGTTCACTTTGGCTTTCATGGAACAAAATATAGAGGGTTCCATCTTCAGCTATCCATTGCAACAAAACACTCGCAAATAAAGCATTGATTTTTAACAGAGACAGACCTATTTCATCCCCTTCATCCCCACTTCTAACCTTGGACTTGAACAACACATTGAAAATTACCCAAACAGGTCAAGATTCTATTAGATATGAGTTATCTTCTTCGTTTGATTAGGATTTTGCTTCTGGGTATAGACTGTTTGATTAGGATTTTGCCTCTGGTTATAGACTTTTTGCAAAATTTGAGGGTTCTCTTCGATCTGAGGAAAAAAGTTGGAATTATTGTTAATAAAAAAAATTAAAATAAAATTTTGATTTATTAAAAAAATAAAGTTAATTCCAGTATGTTGTTTGGTGCAAGAATGAATAGGGCATGACTCAAAATCTAGCCAGCCCAATCCAATGCTTCAAAGCCTATCCTAACCAATCCAAGTCAGCCCACCAAACGGGTTAGGAACCTCCAATCCATCCTTTGACTGGATTATGATACAACTGAAAGATATCTCTTTCAAATAGTAATAATTTGATATGATTATTATAGCCCCTCGAACTTTTGATTTGGAAACGGAACTGATTGGAAAAGTACCTCTTTTTACCCATGCAGAAACTCTGGAAATAAAGATCCCATAACCTAAGTCCTTGGCAGGATTCATATTTGCTATTTGTTTTTTTTTTTTTTTTTTTTTTTTTTTTTTTTAACCTTTGTTTGTGTGAAGTATTTGGCCCCAATAAGTTTGAAGTTACAGGGAGGAATTGAACTCTTGTCCTTCAACGAATGATCCCTTCCACTTGAAAGCTAGAGTCAATGATTCCAATATTGCACTCAAGGGAAAAGAACTTAGGTTTATAGGTAGTTGCAGAAGTAATGGTGTTTCTTTAAGGCATCTGGTTGATATGGTGACAAAATTGCACTCAAGCCACGAATAGAATTTTCTTAAGTGTATAAATGAGATGGTGGTGGTTGAAAATCAGTAGGGGTGAGCATTTAAACCAGTGAATCGGTGAAGCGAGCAGAACTGGATTCAAAAAAATTGAATATGAACTGTGATGACCAAAGCAGTCAACCTAGGCTCAAAAACCGAATTGAATCATTATGGATCGGTTCCTATTCTTATTCCTGCCTTGGGAAAATCGAAATTTTTTAGTATGCCTAAGTAATATCTAGATGTTCTTTAACCCAAGTAATACCCAAATGTTTTAGTCCCAATTTATACCCAACTAACGGTGAACCATAGCCATTCTTCTTGTTGTGCCTCCATCTTTCTCTCTTTTCCACCTATTTAGAGAGATATATATATATATCTCTCTCTCTTTTTATCTCTTCACATATTTCTTCTTATTCACCTCTTCCTTTTTTTTCTCTTCTTCCATACTGATAATTTGCCAAACCGAACTAGAATCATATGGATCTAGTTTGTTTATGTTCCTCTATACACTTTGTATGAAAACCAAATCAAACCAAACTTTGTTTCTTTTGATTTCGATTCTAATTTGAGAGATAAACCGAACCAAATCAAACGGTGCCCACCCTAATAATGAGTTAATGAGATGAATGTTATGAACTCAAGTGAAGAATGATGGCTGAGTACCAATTATGAGAACTTGTAAAAACTTTTGGCATGAGAGAATTATCCATATAAACAATATATGTGATCATCATTGTTATTAAGAAATGGGAATGAGCAAGAAGATCGAAAAAAACAAATTGAATATAATAGGAAAATCATATATGAACTTCATTATCCAAACCAACATTGCTTAGATGAATGAGTTTGTCATCTGCACTGGGTGGTAATTATGTTATTTAGTTGATGGCTTTGATGTTATATGATATTTTAACTAAATTCTTAAACATAGTTGCAATTGAAAAGTCCAGTCTAGTTATAGACAAAAATTTAATCAACCCTTTTACTTTAAGAGTTTAATTAGTGTAAAGGTCCCATCAAATTTATGTTAATTTTAAAGGTAAATTAATAATGTCATCTTACATAAACAAAAACACACAACTATATAAAAAGAGGTCAAAATAATAATCTCGGAATTTAAGTTTTTTAAGATTACAATCTCTGATAAATAATGGGTTTTTTTTTTTCACAAAATTATCACATTTGGTTATTTATGATTTGTGATATGATAATCCTTAACGTTACTCTCTATACCTGTTTGGCATTGCTTATTTAGGGTGATAAGTGATTTTTTTAAAAATTTGGGAAACCCAGCCCGTTTGGTAAACTATGAGAAAATAACTTATTGTTAAAAATCGTTGTGAGAGAAAGCTATAAGGGAAAACAACTAATAAGGTATTTTCATTTTCTGATTATTCAGGAATTAGTTTCGAAGAGGAGCTGGGTTTAATGATTATGCGGGAGTCATTTTCTGATTATGCGAGAAATAGTACCAACAACACTTTTAACAAAAAGATTACCAAACGCCAAACTGTTTTCTCTCGCAGCTGATTTCTCTAACAGCAAATCTGATAGCGATTATTTTCACAGCAAAGTTGATCCTTGCCGTCAAATTTCGTTAAAAATTCTGTTAAAATGCTGATGTGCCTTTTTTTTTCCTACAGAATGAGTCTTTTTTCACATGAGAGCATGATCATATCGTATTTACTGATATGGCGCCAATTAGAAAAACATAATTAAAACTAGAATTCGTTGACATCCCGTTTTGGGATTTGGCTCCTTCCACTCCCCGCCCAAACTTTCTCCTTTTCGTGCTTTTCTCATTTTTGGCTCGCACTCTCCTCCGACTGAAGACCCGCCAACCTTGTTTCAACCCTCTCTCATTCTCACACTCTGGCACTTGCCAGATGTCATCTCAAAATTTTGAAAATCCCCCAATTAAATAGCAAAGCTGCCGTGAAATTTTTAAACAAACTCAATTTTCACCAACCAAAAAAAAAAAAAAAAAAAAAAAAAAAATTCAAATTTCCCACCGAAAATTTCAAAAATTAAGGAAAACAAACATGAAAATATAAATAATAAATAACAAAAATAAAAATAAAAATTTCAAAACTCCCTCCAAAATAGAATTAGAACCCATCATCGCCCAAACATTACAAATACCTCACTCCTTCTCCGCTCTTGCTCCAAGCCCATCTCCTCCATCTCTCCCCAACTCTCAGAAATTCTCTGTCTCGAAGTTCTTATCAATGGAGGCCAGTGCTTGCCGCTACCACAGCAACAAAGAGAACCTCCCTCCTTCCTCTGCCATGGCAAATCTGACGAACCCAGTTCCTGAAAATGGGTCTTCTTCCAAGAAATGTAATAAGAAGACGAGATTAAGGAGGAAGCCTCTTGCTGATATAACCAATCTCTACATTTACGGCAATCAATCAAGTTTCGGCCTTTCGGATCATCTACCAAGCGCAACTCTTCCCTTCTCTTCTTCCTCTTCCTCTGTCTCTGGCTCTGCATCAAATTCTCGGAAAAGAAAATCAACCCAGGAGGACAATACAAATTCTAGTAAAGTCAACAGCTCCAACTCCAAGTCTCTGAGGATGGGTTTCAGATAATTTTTCGTATGGGTTTTCTTCCTTTGTTGTTTCTGTAATTTCTAATTGTAATGTTTTGAGGTTGGTTCCTCGTCAATCTCATCGTAGATACAAATTCATACCAATGAAAAAACAGAAAAGAGAAATATACAGATTTTGTCTCTTCTAACTCTCTTAGATTGTGGTTCATTGTAATTTTCAATACAAGAATCATCTTTTATTTATCTGGATATTAGTGCAGAATTTTTCTCAGTTAGAAAAAAAAAATTATAACTTTTTGAGTTAACTACACAAAACCCCCAAATTTTGGGCTGCAATATAAATTGATAAGCGTTAATGAGTTTGTTAGTTTGTCTGTTAAATGATTACGTGACGAGCTGGTCCAATTTTTCATGCTTATGTCACTTTAAGTACGCTAAAAACAATTAAAAAGAAAATAACAAAAGATATTAAAACTATTCTACGCTTAAAATTCATTCATGGAAGCCCAAAATTTGAGTTTCCGTAAAAAGAAATAAGAAATTTATATAGAAGAACAAAGAAAGAGTCGTTTTTCACGTGAGGAAGGATGTGTAGAAAAAGAAAATTGAACACATTTTCAATTAAATCATCAAACTACTCCATTAACGTGTTTTGTTAGAAAAGGGTTGATCAAAGTCACAATTTTCCAAAGCTCCCAAACCCTAAACCATGATTGTGAATGCTTCTTGAAGCCGGGCATGCTGACTTGTCCCTTACCTTTATTGGTGACATGAGCATGATCACGTTTGATGATGGCCCAAATCAATTATTAAAATAAAATAACATAACATAAGAGAAGCCAAATGGAAATGGCGACATTTGGTTTTGGGATTTGGCTCCTTCCACTCCCCGCCTAAAGTTTCTACTTTTGTAGACTTTGTCATTTGCCACAGTTGCCACCTCAAAATTTCAGTGCAAAACAAAAGTCAATTCCCAACTCCCTCCTTTCTTGAAAACAAAATTCAAAACCCCAAAATCTAACCTTAAGAATACAAAGAAGAAGAAGAAGAAAAAAACAACCCGAGATTCAAATATCCCTCCAAAATAGAATTAGAATTTAGAACCCAATCGCACAGACATTATAAATACCTCACTCCTTCCCTGCTGCTGCCCCAACTCCCTCCCCAACCCAACCAATAACACCAAGTTTCTTGTTTGTGCCTCCTCCAAGTTCTTATTATTCATGGAGGAGGTCGTTGGTTGCCATGGCCACAGCAACAAAGAGAACGTGATCCCTCCTTTCTCTGCAACTGCAAGGGCAAAGCTCACCAACCCGGTTCCCGGAAACGGGTCTTCCTCCAAGAAATGCTATAAGAAGATGAGATTAAGGAGGAAGCCTCTTGCTGATATAACCAATCTCTACATCTACAGCGACAACAATTCTGTTCAATCAAGCTTGGCTCATCAACCCAGCCCAACTCTTTCCTTCTCCTCATCAAATTCTAAGAAAAGAAAATCAATTCGGGAGGTAGATAGTGCCGTTCAAGCCACCAAATCCAACTCCAAGTCACTACGGATGGGTTTCAGATAATTTTGAATTCTTATGTTTTGGGATTGATTTCTTGTGAATCTCTCGCATATAATGTGTTTTGCTGTTGTATAAGAAATGCACATTCTTGTAAATAAAAAGGCCAGATGTGTTTTTATCTATTGGTATCTATTTCTTTAGCCATGGTAAAAATTAAGGAGATAAAAAGAGAAGATAAAAATCCCAATTTCATTATATTCCAGTCATCAAACCAATACATTTGGATCATTATCAATTCGTCAATACTACTTTCGAAACACAAATCTACCGCTGCCCGAAGAGAATGTACAGAAACACCCCTTGCCTTCTACGAATATCACAGATCTACCACTGCGAGCACCAACCGCGTGTCAAACTCCCGCCAAGACGAAAATGCTTTCGGTGTTGCGAAACAAAAACAGAAACCCAAATTTCAGACACGCAACGAAAACCAAAAAAACAAAAAACAAAAAACAAACAATTTTGAAAAAAAATGCACACACAAAGCGTGAGTCGTGACCATTCATTACCTGTGACGTCAGCACGCTTCGTACGAAACGCAGGCCGAAGCAGTAGAATTGGCGCCACCGCCGCAACTAGGCGACCTCTTCCTCTTTCTCTCCTGCACCGACTCCTTCGCCGGATGAGTGGTCTCAGAAGCCCCAGAGGACAAGGAAGCACCGTCCAGAGCGGAAATGACGCCGTAGGCTACCGAATTCAGGGGTAAGGGCGCCGATTGCTGATGCTTCTTGTGCTTGGCGACGTCGGAGCAGGGGCTTGTAAGAGGAGAGCAGTGGGCGTGTTTCGATGAGCTTAGGGTTTCAATGGAGGTGACGCAGCACTCTTTCCACTTGAGCACGTCGAGGGCATCGATGACGTCCTCCTGCGCCGTGATTGCAAACGGCGAGATGCCGTCTTTGAGCGTAGTGCGAGCAGGCTGGACCAGGGACATTGAGCTCACGGCGTCGCTCAGACGTTGCTAGAGAGTTGAAGAAAGGGGAAAAGCAGAGGAAAATGTGATGGAGAAGAAAAATCGAGGAAGATATAAGCAAATTTCAATGAAATAAGAAACAACAAACTAAGCTAGAGAAGAAATGGAAATCATCATGATATGTAATCGATGAACATTTCATCAATTTTTTTTTTTCTCTGGAACCAAACAGAAGATAAGAATGATTGAATTTTCTCACCTTGTTGCCTCCGTGGATTTTCCTGTGCCCGTGCATGCTGAGGATCTGCAAAAACCGAAATTCCGAGATGAAGAAGAAATTAATATTCCATTTAAAAATCAAAGTAAAAGATGTAGCTAAATTAGATGATGAAGAAGAAGAAGAACCTGATTGAGATCTGATGCGGTGAGATGGAGGTTGGAGTGAGACTGAATGAGAAGAAGGTAATCTTCCAGAGACATCTTGTGGTTGGGACCTCTCGTTTTCGCTTTGCTCACACTCACCATCGCCATTTTCGCTCTGCTTTCTCTTTTGCGTTTGTCTCTGCTCTTTTGATTTTATCACCTACTAATCCGTTTTATCCCTATTTTCGTTTTTTTTTTTTTTTTTTTTTTTTTAATGATGAGATGTGAAATATGATTATCTCAGTGTAGCAATTTTCTGAAATAATTCTCAGTGTGTGAGCTCAAATCCACTTGAAAAAGACCTAACTTTTATCAGTCGCTTTTTTGAATTTCTTTTCAAGTTGAGCACGATCATTTTTGGTTCGTTATAAATTGTTTTTAGGCCCAATTTTGAAGTTTTTTAATATAAAATAAAATAAAATAGAAGAGTAACTTCGTTAATTATTTATTTGTTTTTTTACTAATCCAGAAAAATAAGGGAAGAAGAGAGGAGAGAGAGAAGGGGTTGTGATGCTTCTTCCTCTGCCCCCTCTATTAAGTTTTTTCTTTCGGACTCACATAGAGAGACTAAAGCTAGAGTTTTTTTCCTTTGGGACTCGAACAATTAGGTCCAATTTTGAAAGTAAAACTTAACATTATGTTCAAAATATCACATGGATGCATTTCCAATTAAATTGCATCATTGCAATACAAAACTTAGAAACAAACCAATGTTCTGATTCCTCCCCCACAAAGCCCATATCTGCCTGCTCTGATTTCTTCCATATCAACAATTTGAACATATTTTACCTAACTCACACCTTGAAAAGTTCCTGGTCATATGATTGTCAATTAGGCATTGACAATCAGCAAAGACCAACATACAGTGTATCTGCTCAATTGAAAAGATGACTGGTCTCAAGTCATTTGTGTAGAAACACTAGAATAAGTGTATGGATGTTTACTAGAGAGTGAATTCATTGAACACGATCAACTGAGGGATCTTGTATCAAAGTTTTACCTACATGTCAAACAAGATCTCTATAGTTGCAATAATGTAAATTAGTCATCGACCTGATGCACCACAGTTGTCTCATGGAAGTGTTGTAAGCCTTTGATCATACTAAAGCATTGTGTTCCTTGGGGCATGACCATAAGGTGTGGTGGGGGTTCGTGATCAATTCATGGAGGCAAGTGAGTGTACAACAAGGAATCTCTACTTTAAGTAATTAGAGAGAATGTTCTGACAATATGATTCAAGAGTCTTCGACTGAAACACTAGGTATGATTGAAAATAGTAATTCGAATCAAGGTATAAAATATCGAAGGTTTAAGAAATATCGGGGGTCCAAAAACATGAAAATATCAGAAAATTATCGATATCGGTAACAATTGAATAAAAACCAAGGAAATTGTAAGAAAAACTTGGAAATTTTGATTGAAAGTTTAGAGGATATTTATTTAGTCAATTATCTATTATGTTAACACACAAAATTGGAAGGAAATGCATTGCATGGTGGTTTTGACTGATTTAAGTTGATTATATAGCTAACTGACAAACACTGTAAGTGTAGAAAATATGTAGTAATTAATGAAAGAAGATTAAACAAACCATAATAATTTAATGCAATATTTTACACTTTATACATTACATGGTAAGATACATGAGTGACTTAGTACCACATAGAGTTCTTATGAGGTTCAAAATTTTCATTGTCTTCATCATCTTTAGATATATGTAGAGTACGTGTACTGTGAAAAGTAGTCATCAAATAATAAATTCCCAAAATAGTTTTGCATGTAATTGTTAACATGCCACCCATATAGATTCAAGATTGTTTGACGTTGCCTATAAGCAAAATCATTTAAAGATTGGATCTCAGATTCTTTCCATGAGTCGCTCGATTCAATCCCAAAAGGCATGGGATATGAAGGGTAGGGAAAGAGTTGGTTTTTTGTATAACAAAGTCATCAGTAGTGTGGTGGATAAGGCGTTGAAGGAAGAGTGGAAGTGGCACGAGTTTGAATCCCCATGTGCGCGCATAAGCCTTTTCATTATTTTTTCTTTTCCATGTCCATATTGTGATATATTGACCAAATGTTGATAATAATTAAAGGATATTATCAGCTTCGAAATTTCCCCGAAATTATTGATATTTACACAATAAGTACACAGATATGTTAAAAAATATCCCTCTCCCCAAAAAATGATAATATCCCCAATATTTCATCGATATTATCGATATTTCAGTCCTTGATTCCAATTGTACTTGTATTAGTCATATAAGCTTGGATTTCACATCAGGGGCCTAACCTGTTTTTCGTGCCCTAATGATGTGATTAAGAGCATTGAGTTAGAGAAAGACCACCGTACTACATTATAATTCTAACTAAATAGGTTCTCCACCTCATTTTATATTGGCTTAGGTAACCGTAAAATGTTGCTAGACGTCGGTCATAGTTTGTGGAAGCCTTGAGGACAAGCCATAACTGGATCCTCATAATAAGGAGAATTAAAAAGGGTTTTAATTCACAATCGATTAAGGAAGAGTTCAAATCGCCCACTACCTCGTCGATTAAAACTAATGGATCTCACGCCCCAAAAGCCGAGCGATGGAAATTAATTAAGAGATTATGTGCAAGGCTTAATTAGTTAATAGAAATTAATTGATTAATTAAGGCTCAGAAATTGTATTGAAATTAGATTTGGCGTTCAATGTCAATTGGGCTTGTAAAATGAGTTGTAAATGAAAACTTAAGTGAATAATCCCAAGAGGCCCAACAAGCAAGGAAAACTGATCGTAGAGGTATTGTTAATGGGTTTGACCCATTTGATGACTCACATGGGTCCTTTAAGTTATGTGGGTCATGGGTGACCCAACTTAAATGCCCTAGCCTATAAATACGTACCTTGAGTCATCTTAGGGCTCGTTTGGTACACCGTATTAGACTCTGGATAGGAGTAAATAGTCCATGTCAGGTGTTTGGTGTCAACTTGTATTATTTAATTATTCGACTATTTTATACGGGTTGGGCTTTTAATACTTTCCTTACCTGACTAACTAATACAACCCACACACCCCCGGTTTAGATAATACACGCTTAATTATACGGCTAAGGAGAAATAACACGCGTTCTACGAGAAAAATTAGACGTTTTTTTCATCTTCTTCTCCCTAGGGTTCTTCTCCACTAGTTATTCTCTTCACTCTTTTCCAGGTATCCATCTCTCACTCTCCCTCTATTTTTCATACTTTCTCCAATATGCTTATTCTCTCTTCTTTATATATTTCATATTTTATTAAATTTTTGTGGAAATTAGGTTATGAATTATTTTTTTGTCCATGTTTTGCTTTTTGTTTGTTATTTTCCACTTTTCCACTTTGTTGAGAACTAGAAACTAAGATAACAATTGAAAAGAATAATATATTATATATAGAGAGAGAATTCGTTTTGTTTTATTTTTTGTCTTCGATTTTTTTTTCTTTTCATCATTTTATTCATATTGTTTATGTTTTTCATTGGCTAACATGAATTAACCAGCGTATCCTATATCAAACTTCTCTTCCTCGTATTATTTTGAATCATATAGTATATATCATGCAAGCTTTGTGTTGGTAAGATTAACTTTGCCATACTTTTTATTAAACCTATGAATGCTAGGAAAACAGATTATTGGTATTAAACAGAGTAGTGCTAGTTTTCATCCAAAACAATTGATAATGGGATATATAAAAAAAAAAAAAAAAAAAAAAAAAAAAAAAAAAAAAATCTTGGCAAAAAACATTGAAAACATATAAACAAATATGAATCTATACCAAAAAATAAAAATAAAAAAAATCATGTCATTTGAATTTCAATTTCCACTTAAATTATCAAAGAATATTTTTATTTATAAAAATGGTCTGATCCGATGTTATCTGGAACAGCACCAAACACGGTATAACTTAGTCAGACTATTTATCCGAAACAGCACCAAACGCCTTATAATATTATGTATAAACAGTCAGTACTCTCCGGAAAATTAATACTATCCGATAGAAATTAGTCAGTACAGTCCGACGTACCAAACGAGCCCTTAGGGTTTTAAAGTTTTGGGAATTGAGTGAGGCAACTGAAGTACTCTCACTCTCACCTGACCATGGCCGGCCACACTAGGAGGTGTTGCTAGCACCTACACCTCTTTGTGTTCTCATCTCCTTCTCCATGTTCTCTTTTTTGTTGTGTATGAAATTAGAGGCCATGCTTACTTGTGTGGTTTTTTCTTGGAGAATCTTTTGGTGAAGGCCCTTTATAGGTGATCGACCTAGAGCTTTGCTCAAGGTAGTGCTTCAAAGGTATAAAGGAACTTCTTATCTCTCTCTAGACAATGTAGAAGAGTCTATGTGCTTCAATCCTTTAGGCTTAAAGGTATGGGAAAAAGATTTGTTTTTACTCATGATTTTAATTTTTAAGCTTTCGTTGTCATAATATATAGTGATTCTGTTCTTCACGTATGTTCAAATGATCTTTTATAGACACAAGGTTTCCTTCAAAGAAAATCAGAACATTCGAAAATGTCAACAAAGCCATGACACGAATTGTTGACAATTTGACATGACATATTTTTAATAGGTCTATTTCATGTCATGTCAACAATTTTAATGAATTTTACGACGCACTTGACAATGGAGGGTAAAGTCAAATGCCAAACATTGATTAAAGGGTAATGTGAGTCACTTTGATTACCAAATGATAATAGAAGATTTGATCATACTTTCAAGGGGAACTAGAACAATTAAGTGTATATGTAATACAAATTAGTTAAACTATAAAGACAGTTTGTAAAAACAAAAATAATAATAATAAAAAATTTGTGTGATTGTGATGGCCTAGTGATGAACATTTAGTTAATATAGAGAAAACATGTGGGAAGATAGCAAAGTGAAACAATACTTGTGACGACTAAAACGAAGCACATACTTCGATTTCCACCATGTATCTAGTTTGTTTCCATTGCACTTGGTATTAGCTATATAAATGGTTATAAGACTTCGTCTTCCTTCCATTAACAAAATTAATTAACATAACCAGAAGCTTGTCATTAAGCATGGCAGAGAAAGAAGGGGGCATAGTTAAGAAAGGCCACGAAGAAGGCTTGAAACTGGCAGCCTCTATTCTCCAAAAATTCGAACTCCCTCAAGGAGTTCTTCCCTTGGTCGGTGTGATCGAAGTCGGGTTCGTCGAAAGTACGGGGTACATGTGGATCGTGCAAGAGAAGAAGGTGGAGCACGAGTTCAAACTGATCAGCAAGCTTGTGAGCTATGACACTGAAATCACCGGATACATTGAGAAGAAGAGGATCAAGAAGCTCAAGGGTGTGAAGGCCAAGGAGCTGGTGCTGTGGCCTCCAGTCAGCGAGATCACAGTGGATGAGCCACCAACTGGGAAGATTCACTTCAAGAGCCTTGCCGGGATCACAAAGACCTTCCCTGTTGAGGCATTTGCTTAACTTGGGCGCCAGTGAGGCATTTGCATGGTTATGCATGGGTTTTAATTAGTTCTTGTTCAAGTCAATGGGCTTTTGTTTTTTTCTTCTTTTTTTTTCTTTCCTTTTTTTTTTTTTTTTTTTTTTTTTTTTTTTTTTTTCTCTCTCTTTCTATTTTCTAAACTAAGAAGCAAGTGGGAATAAGATATTAAATGGACGTAACTTATCTATGTTTATGTAATATAGGGGATTTGGTGACATAAGGAACAACTCTATCTAAGGTTTTAGTTTTAGTTTAGTTTTTTTTTTTTTTTTTTTTTTTTTTTTTTAAAAGAATAACATTTATCGAATCATTTACATGATCAAAGATTATGTCGGCGTGGGTAGAGTGGCCTCGTTAAAACCTCTCTAAAGAAAACCCGATGGGAAAAACTTCAGGGGAGGAAAAAGAGTGCCACACATGCCAAATTACACATGAAGAAATTAAATCAAACGATAGTAGGCACATGCCAATCATCAAAAACAGCATCCATAAGCCACAAAGGACCCACATCCAACCAGTACGACAAACTTTGATCGCGAAGACTGAAGCGGGCAATTCGGTGGGCAGCCTTGTTCGCTTGGCGAGGAATATAGCGAACAGTAGAAGACGCAGAACTGACCAGGAGGCGTTGCACCCCATCCACCAGACCTCCCTCAGCATCAAGGCATTCCTCCTCACTGTTGACCATAGAAACTGCCTGCAAGGAATCAGACTCAATCTCCAACGCAAAAGAGAGTCCGACCTTAAGAGCATACAGCTCTGTTGCAAGTACAGAGATCCGACTTGGTGCCCGCATAGCTAGAGCCCCAACCAGATTGCCTTGAGAGTCACGGACGATTGCACCAGCTCCCCTAGCTCCCGGCTCCATGTCAGTTGCCCCATCCACGTTCAGCTTGAAACAATTACCCGTAGGAGGCCTCCATTTAACATCACGAACCGGCGAGGATAAGCTCCTATGATTGGCAACAGAAGACCATTTAAATTCATCATCATAGTCCTTCGCTCGTTTAACCAAAACGCCGGAAGGGGTGGGTTGGGAGCCAAACAGCACCTCATTACGTTCGTTCCACAAATTTCTATTCAAAATTGTTGTTAATAAGATTTGAACTCAAGAACTTCTATATATAATAAAGTGAAAACTTGATGACACTAGACCGAATAGCATTCATCGGTTGCTGTTAGTTCTAAAATCAGTCATTGATTGTGCCCAAACATGATAATGTACAGGAATTTCTACATCGCTAGCTTCCTTTGGTTTGGGTAAAAGAATTCAACTTTTCAATTAATCATCGTTTTCTCGTAATAGAAACTCTATGTGAGAACGATACTCGTACTTGCATTAACCATACTATAATAAGATTTGCGCACTTTCGAGGTTTAATTTGGCCTAAATTAATCTATTAATTTAAAATTGAGAAAAAAAAATTAAAACACAATTATAAAAATAAAAATAAAAGCAAATTAACGCACACGTGAGCTTGTGCAAAGAGATATGCAGAACAAATTATTAATCCCAAATTAACGAATCCTGAAGACTTAAACGTAACATTATGATTTAAAGTATCAAATTCATTGAGAATTGGTAATAAAGTTGAAAATTTTGGGATTCACCTGATTTTCTAGGTTTCTTGCAATCATGCCTTTGAAATCCAAATCTAATATACGACATCTAACTTGGATAGCATAACCACAATACCTTTGGTGAAATTGGAAAAGAAACTTGAAAGAGAGAGATTGAGATTTGGGAGTCTGAGAGGGAGAAAGGAGAAGAGTCATGAAGAACATGTTGGGAAGCCGAACACGTTTGGGAAGAAAAAAAAAGTATAATAATAGGGACATTTTTGGAAAAGACCAAAGGTTAATCTCTATATATAAAGCAAAAGGCAGAGAATGGTGAAACATTCAAAATACCAAAAAATGCATTTGGTTAATGCAAACATTAAGAATTGAAATTATTAATTAAATGAGGATAATATGGTAAATTCACATTTTTTTTCATATTTAAAAAAATTAAAATTAAAAGAAAAATCAGATAATGGATCTTATTTTTATGAAACACAACTATCCATTATTTTTTTAATTCTAAAATAAATTTTAATTTTTTTTAAAAGCCCCTCACAGGTGCTTCCGCGCCTACGGAGAGGCTAGTTTATAATAATAGGCCAAAGGTTAATTAACTTAATTAAAATAAAAGTTAATTTAGATGCAAACAGGCCCATTTTCATTTGAAAGGGTGAAAGCTCAATATGCTGCCGAGGGCCTTTTTAAACAAAAAATTTATTTTGTAGTTGGGCTTAAAGGTTTTGGAGGCTCCTAATTTTAGGAGGTTCTGTCCGTTCGAGCAGCCCGCACATGCTATGTGCCTTCCTTGACCATAACATGCTTACAAACTGAGCTAAGCCTCTCCCTACTCAATTCAATATTTGGATTTTAACATTCCCAAAATTTGAATTGTGTCACTTTTCTCTTTAGCGTTAAAATAGATCATATTCCACCTATGTGACCACTATCCAGCGTTAAATATAGCGTTTAACATGTCAAGAAATTTTTTGGTGTGACTGTCAAATGATCATGTGCCTTTAATATTGGTGGAGCAATTGTAACCACCTCCTTGTCAAATGATCATGTGCCGTTACTATTCGTGGAGCAATTGTAACCCCCTCCTTGTTAAATGATTATGTGGTGTTATTAGTTCTCAATATTCCTATTGAGGCTCAAAAAATTCAAGGTTGGGCCCAAATATATTTCTAACCCAGTAGACACCTAACTTAGGAAAAAACCCAATTTGGGTACGCAAGAATTCGTCATATACGCTTGCACACGTGCCACACCAAGAAAATAAGCAACACGCCAGGCTACAAGCTTAAGTGGGCCCAAGCCACATGAATGTCTGGGGCTTGCTGAGCGGGTTGTGGCATGGATGGTTACGAGTATTCACGAGGCCCATTGATGGTCCAAGGAGTGGAAGTTTTGGGCTGCTTGGTTGCCCCAAAACTCAAGTACATTTCTTGAGCCCAAATATATGGGTAAGCATGAAAGAGAGAAAATGGTAGCCCATTACCCTAGAAAATTGGCCCATCCCCTTAGTGAACTAGCTCATTACCTTAAAGAATGGCCCAAGTGACCTATAAAATATTTGAAAGTCTCCAGCCAAAACCATGACAAAAGCCAAAGGTTACCTATGTATGCAGGCTGCTGGGAATCTCCAGCACATGGCCAAAGACAAATCCCAACACAGGCCATCCAAAAACCAAAGGATACTTGAGCAAAACACCCTTCAAACTATCGCCATTACCCACTAATTTCTCATACCAGCTCTTGCCATGAAATAAGGGAGGAAAGAAGGAGATATGGTAGCCAAAGATAGGAGATTGCCACAGGGACAGCTGCGGGAAGACTCTAAAGCTCCCAAAAATCTTATATCTGTGTATTTGGATTGGGAGAGATTTCATAAAAAGAGGTTGAATCGAAGAAAGAGAAGAGAAATGGAGGAGAAGACTTTGCAAAATTGGAGAGAACCAACTAGGGTTTCTTGGGAAAAAGAAGCTTCCAGCACCTATAAAAGGGAAGCACCTTCTACCCAGCAAAACAACTCAAAAAAGGGCAAGCAACCCACATCCATAGAGCAAGCTTCATCTCTCATCCTTGGAACCCTTCAATTTCGAGCTCTATTCCTCCATCTCTTCTCATTTTCTCTTCTGGCAAGCCATTCCAGAGTTTGACAGAGCTTTTGTCATGCTACCGGAAAATTGCTCAAACCACCCACTTCTCCTCCCTCATCTTTCTCCCCCTTTCTCTCCTCAACGAATCCTCTTAAAATCCCTTCCCTCTTGCTTTGAATCTCTGTTTCTCATAGAAAATCACAACTCTCTCTCTTTCATGCTAAACTCATGAGTGCTTAGCTTCCATGCCACAAGCTTCTCAAGCCAAGCCAAGAATTTATCTATAAGCAACTGTTGGTTTCATTGGTGAAGGAGACCAAGGTGTTTCCTAAGGCTCAGCTACCCTTTCGAAGCACTCTTAGGGTCTAATCCTTGAACTCAGACTCAGGGGCAATTTCACACAGTTTGCTCTTTACAGCAGCCCAGACCCATCAGTAGCTGCCGGAACGAAAAAGCCCATACAATTACAAATTAGTATTTACATGTAAGGTGTCACTCATATTATAACACGTATTTATTTAGTAACTGTAAGGTGTCACTCATATTATATCGCATATTTATTTAGTAACTGTAAGGTGTCACTCATATTATAACACATATTTATTTAGTAATACTAAACCATAGATTTATGAAATATCAAAACACTTAGAGCAAGTCCACCCGTTGGACTTGCCAGGGCATAAGGCCCCCTAGGCCAAAGAAACCAACTCCAGTGATCAAATTCAACCCGGCAGATAATGGGCTCCACCAAGACTGGGTAGGCCCGAAGGCAAGAACAGCCCGAGTTGTTGTCTGAGGGCTCTAACGTCAACAAAGAATATAATTTTTTTAAAATTGAAAAAAATTCTAAAAAATTACCAAAAAATACATAATGTTTTTTTTTATACATACTTAGCAATTTTTTTATTATTAATCTCATACATATAAATAAAATTAACTCCATGTGAATAGTAATTGCCCTTGGGTTGTCATGGCAATGGGTGGAAAAGCAACAAAAGTATTGCTACGATAGATACTATTCATGTGAATAGTAACTGACTGGCCTTACTTGCCCTTTGTCATGACAAATGGGTGGAAGTGGTCTTAAATTTGTAACATCATGTAACACTTTAATGGATGACTTGTTCAGGGTTTAGGGCATTAACAACAAGACCATTTTGGGAAAGCCCTATAGTGGCCATGAGGCCATAGGCTATATGCCAAATATAGCTCTAAAATAATGTATAACCCATCTCCCGCCATAGGCCATATGCCAAATATAGCCCTAAAATAATGTGAAACCCATTTCTAGCCATGGCCAAATTTGGAGTCCACATTTGGCCCTTTAGCCCTCCATGGTCAGGCCAAATTTTTTTTGTGGGCCCAGTGCATGTGCTTTCCAAGAAGAGAAAGTATCATGCGTGGGTAAAAGCATGAAAGATCTCGTGCAACTACATATCCAACAACCAATATTAAAGGGCGCGCTGACGTCAACTAGCTGTTAGGTTTTTTTTTAAGATAACTTTTTTAAATTTTTTTAAATTCGTTTGTTTTTAATATATATATATATATAATTGGTTTTTGATCATTGGAGGTCAGAAATATTGATTGAAAAGTTACTTTTTTATATTATTATTTAAAACCTTTTTATATGTTTTAAATTTGTTTTGTTTAAAAAATTGGTTATGACCGTTGGAGGTCAGAACCATTGAAACATAGCCTTTAAATAATAATAATAATAATAATAATTTCCTCTTTTGGCTTTATTATTATTATTTAAAATTTTTTGAAAAACTTAAAATATGTCTATAAATACCTCAAAAAATTTCATTCTCTACTTATTCACAACTTTCCATACTCTTTCTTTTTGTCAAATATTTTCCGCACTCATTTCATCCAAACATTTCCTACAAATTTATTTTCTTAACTTATTTTGTTATTCACATTGTTTGAAAAATGTCTAAGACTTTGAAGGGACGAAATGGTCACGAGTGGAAGATGAACATCTTTGCAAGGCTTTCATAAGTCTCAGAAGATAGCGTTGTGGGTGCTAACCCAAAAAGGAGATGAAGTTGTGAGATATTGAATCGAAAACACTCCATTTACTAACATTTGAAGATGAAGATAAGAGGTGCCACGTCGACAAAAATCTAACTGGAAATCTGGATAGTTGCTCCCGGACCGACATGTGTCACTTGAAAATCATATCTTAAAAATTATTAAGATTCCTTCAGAATATGATGTGCCATGTGGACGCAAAATCTTATCAGAAATCTTGTTAAATGCTTATCAACACACACGTGTCATATATAGAATATTGTCTCTTAATAATAGTTTAATTAAATTAAATAATACATAGTTGTGGAATGTATGAGTATTGTACCATAGTTTTTCTCAAAATAATAAAATATGAAGGACCCTAAAATATAGTCATGCATGGTTGGAAATGGAAAAATTTAACCCTATACTATTATTTAAAAAATTAATATTTTAGAGGACTAAATTTATAGTCATGGACTACATTTAGCCCTATAACCGGAAATGACCTGAAAGACACGACTGTCCATTTCCTTTGGCAAAAATAATAATAATATTATTATATAATAATAACAATAATATTAAATTATTAATAATAATAATACTAATCCATGTCATGAAAAGTTGAGTCAAATTAGGGGGTTTGGGCAGCACTTTCCTTCTCAAGGCAACTTAACAGCCAGATAAATACAAAATGTGATGACTCCAAACTTTTAAGCACTTTACTATTGATTTTTTTCAGATAAGTTACACGTAAATCTATGTTCAAACCAAGGATTGCTAACACAACGGGAGGATCTAGGTCTTTTTTCTTTTCTTTCTTTTTTTTTTTTTTTTTTTTTTTTTTGGTGTTATAACAATAACGTAGCCAAAATTAGCCGTGCGTACCTTTTTTCCTTTCTTTTTCTGGCTTTTCACAACAAATCCGCCCCCATATGAGTAGAACTAGGAACTACTCCAACGGGGGATAACTACCACTAGACCAAAGGCTATTTTGTTTCGTGGGGATTTCAAATTATATGAATAATGCTACTCTTACCATATTTGTATACCACATCTTTATGTGGAATATTTATACCATCTTTGTGAAATAGGGAAAAGTAAAACGGCAAGTCTTTGAATTTGGGTACAAAATTCCTAAAAATGAATTTGGGCAGATATTTAAATACGAGATGAATCTATAAATGCTGCTGGTCTCAAAACTGATACTGATACATTGAACCATCCATCCAAAATTGGAAAATAAAAACCACTGTGAGAAGAAAAAGCAGGTAAATGTTTATATCTGAAAAAATGTGTATGTAACATGATCTTACACAATACCACCTACCAGCCAACATCTCCCCCTGCTCCTCTCTTTCTCTCTCCAAAATACTCAACCAAAGAGACATAATAATTAACTATACACTTTTCTCAGCTCCTTTACTCAAAATCAGGAACATGGACACAATATGAGGCTGGCATAATGAAGCAAAAAACTTTAAAAGGACAACCAATGGAATCCAAAGGCATGGAATAATCTAGAGAGAAAATTAATAAAAAAATATATATGTATATAATTCCAAATGTGGACTAACGAGCTATTTCTCTCTGCAGGATTTCTCTGCCTTTAAATTCTGAAACAATTAAGTTGCTGATTATGTCACAGGTAAAAATGGTAATCCTAGTATGAAATGATTAATGGTAAATACTAGGAGAATTACCATAAAATATGAGGACAGACCAGAAATGGGCATGTCTGCTAGAGGCTGCAGGTTCTCACCGAGTCCTCTAAGAACTGATGGCTTGGAAGGACCATCTCCTTAACCTTTTCTCCGTTCTTGTAAATTTTAAATGTTGGAATGGTTCTTATGCTCTCAGATTTCGCTATGGATAAGCTCTCCTCCACATCCACCTTCAACCAAACAACAAAGCGTGTAAATGTCAATCCTCGAAAATAGATACAGATGATGCTATTATGAGCACTATGAATCCTGGTTATTCAAATGCGATTTGAAAACAACACAAAAAAAATTGGACTCATATCACAAAGGGAAATAAAAGGCAGAAAAACCTGCTAATCTTATGAGATGTACAATGAATTAATGCAAGAATTGAATAAATCTGATCTGAAATGGTAGGGGCACAGTGGAATGATCTCTTTTACATGAGGTGAATATAGATCAATGAAAAAATTACGTACCTTAAAAAAATTAACATATGGATATCGAACACAAAGCATATTTATGAATGGGGATATTTCTTCACATTTCTCATTGGATTCAACTTTGAAATGAACAACGGAAACACCTGAAACGTCAAATCTTCAGTTAGACAAGATACTTGGAATTGATTGAATTATTAAGCAATTAAAATGGATCAAGCTCACCAGGTGATGATATTGCAGCTTTAAACTTATCCAAACTAGAAACTTCTTCCACTTCACTACCAAACTTCACATTATGAAGTTCCTCTCCATGAGACTTCTTCAACGCAACTTGTGCCCTGTGAAGAGATTCAGCAACCTCCTTGTCTCCAGGAAGGTCCCTCCTCAAGACCTCATAATCTCTTACTGCCTCTGCCCATCGATCAAGCTATAAAATTCACGCGAAAAGACGCCAAAAATCACATATGAATCAACAAAAAATGATTTCAAAGAATGGAATGCCCACCCACATGCACATATGAAGAACAATTTACCTTTGCATTAGAGACAGCCCTTCGAAGAAGGGCTTTGGTGTAATTAGGTTGAATCTTGAGGGCTTGATTGCAGTCTTCAACAGACTCTTCCCATTGTCCAAGCTTAGACCGGCAAACTGCTCTATTGCAATAGAGAACAGAGTTGGAGCTATCATATTTGAGGCCCTCTCCATAAGCAGAGCAGGCTTCAGCAAATCTTCCCGAGCTAAAAAGATCGTTGCCCTGGGAACGAGCATTTGCAACCTTCTTCACTTTATTTGATACCCTCATAACTTCAACATTACTGCAGTCAATCAGTCCAGCCTTCTCTGCTGCTACTACTGCATTCTCAAACCTGCAAAAAATCTAATATCCTTTTTAACTCACTCTAAAAGCCCTAGCTGCTAAAAATTTTAAGTTTCCACTTCAGTGCTTACCTTCCCAATGCCATCTCAACCTGGGCTCTCACATACAGTACATAAGCTTCAATAAGGATGCCAAAGAATTTGGTTGGGAAGCAAGAAGAAGGGTAATTTTCAAACTTTGGTATGTTTGTTAAGCTGGATTCAGCATCTTCAAGTTGATGTAGCTTCAATAGAGCTTCTGCTTTACAAGCCACTAGCTGTAATTTTATTCTAATTAGTTAAAGTGATTTGAAAATTTTGGTTCTATGTCCATGTGAAAAAGTGAGACTTCAAGCTAAGTTCTACCTGAGGAGAGGACTCTGCTCCAGTTGCTATGGCAGCCTCAGATTCCCTAAGCACGCTTTTCCAATCGCCAAGCTTACGGGCATCCTCACATTGTTTCAGATGTTTCTCGAGTGACTTCAGCTTCTGTAACTCAGACTGATCCGGCTGTTGGCCAGGAATACAGAGGTGACGGTAGGATTTTTCAACTTGCCCAAAACTGCAAAGTGTCCAAGTTATTAACTGAGATGAGACTGAATGAATTTGAATAGTTCAGAGTAACATGCAACATAGAGAACGGATCAAAACATAAACATAAACTGGGGAAAACTTAAAAGAATTCTAGAAGCAAATGGAGGGCTACAACTAAGAACTACGTAATTAAATTACCCATGGATGTCCTTTGTACTTTTCAGACTTAAAAAAACAGTTTTCTCTCAAAAAACTGAAAACACAGTTCAATTACAACCAGCAAGCTCTACAATGGAAACAAAATCCAAAGGAATCGACAATCTAGAATACCAAGGATGAGCCAACAGAATATTACATATCTGAACTCGTAAGGACAGGGAAACAGAAAGAACCCAACAGAGAAAATTGATATCTCAGAAAGTAACCCCCCTAATTGGCTGTTCTAAAAACCACTCAGACTGCCAGCAACAGAGAACAATGATATCAAAAATTATCCCTTGCCAATCTAAATAATATTAAACTGAAGCAAAAGCTGGAAGTGCCTAAACCAATGTCGCATAGAGACAACCCACATCAGATGCACCAACACCAATCAGAAACACAACTTAAGCACAAATCACATGGAAACTAAACAAACCAATCACATTCACCCAAAGAGAACCAGCAATGTAAACTAATTAAATTTGCTAGAAAACACAATCATACAAACAACAAAGAAACAAAACCAACAACAAAGAAAAATCCAATTTTTGACTAATGAAGTCTCAAGTTTTCAACAGTTCTCACCGAAGATACAGAGAACCCAACCGTTGATGCGCCCTTCCATAACCAGGGTCCAACCTGACAGCCTCCTCACACTCCCTCACGGCCTCCGGCAGCCTCCCCAGCGCCGTCAATGCCGCTGCCCGGTTACTCCGGTAGGCAGCGTTTTCCGGAGACAAGGATATAGCACGATCATACAATGCCAATGCCTCACCAAAATGGCCTCTTCTGTAAAGCTCATTGCCAGCCTTCTTCACCTCCTCTGGATCAGAGTTCCCCATTGCCCTCTTCCCCATCACAGACTCTCCACCCAACTGTACATTAGCATTACTCCCACCACTTGTATTAACATTTGAATCTAATTTTACACCTCCACCTCTCACTATGCTGCCATGACCATAGTTCCCGCACCCAGACCCCAAAACATCAGTCTTGTTGCTTGCTCTGCAGGCCAATCCAGATTTTACGATTTTCCCAGATGGGCATATATTGCCACTTGGAAACACAGTGGTCGTTGAGGCAATTGAAGTAGAAGATGATGAAGAAGTTGCTGTATTAGTACTCGCATTAGTGCTGATACTGGTATTGACGCTTCCACCGGAGTAGATCAATGGTGGTCCAGCAGAAACCGATCTCCGGTGAGCCGGCTTCCAATTACGCGGCGTCGTACCGGATCGGACCGTCTCGGAGGCTCTCGGGCTTGTTTCGGACGAGACCGAGAGTTCGCCGGAGTGGTTGTTGGATTTGGAATCCGATCTTTTGCCCAACTGGGCATTGCTGGTTTTGCTCGAAACTGAGCCAGAAGAAGTACCTGAACTACAGCTTGAAGTGGTTGCGGCTACACCACCGCCATTGCCACCATTGACAGAGCTCCGGGTCGTCAATGGCGAAACGGGTGAACCCAGATCGAGTTCTTTGAAATCGGGCTTGTTCTTATTGTTGGTGTCTCTGTTGTAACTCAGTGAGTCACGGAAGCGGCTCGTGAGAGAATCAAAGCCCATTTCTTGCATTGATTTGCCAGTAGCGTGGGGCATTTTCTTCACTGCCTCAGCTTCCCAGAAACACACAGAAAAATACAGAGTTTGTTAATTTCAAGCTTTCTCTGTTGCTTCAATGCTCTTTGTTAGAAGAAAGAGCAGAGCAGAGAGAAGGAAGAGAGTGAAACCCAAATGTAGAGAAGTTGAGTTCAGGTGGTGGTAGTGAGGTGAGGAAGAGGAGGAAATGGAAGACATAAAAGAAAGAAAGAAAGAAAGAAAGAAGAAAGGAAAGAGAAAAAGAAGGGATGGGGATCCCGTGATGTTAAAAGGGGCAAGCAAAGAATGACTGAGTGAGAGAAATTTTCCCTTTTTTAATAGAAAAAATAAATAATAAAAAACAGATTTTTTTATTTTTTATTTCCCTATTTCTGGGTGACTTTGTATGGGCTGGTAGCTATTTCTTCGCTTCTATTGGATTAGAAATTTTTTTATACAAGCGACATTGAGAGAGCGGGGAATCGAACTTATGACTCGATGCGTGATAAACACTCTTTGTCTATCGGATTAGAAATTAGATTAGGTCAACTTGACAAAAACAAATTAAAAATGTATTAGATTAAGATTATAATTGGATTAGACTATTTTTTTTCCTTTACTATCGTTGTCCGAATTGTCCCTACCGCTACCTGCCTGCCTGTTTCTCACTATTTTGGTTTTTTTAATTATTTCTTTTTACTTTTACTCTATTGATTTAAACATTTATGGTCACCTTTGAGACTTTATTATTCTGATTATCTGCTTGACTCAATCACTGCTTCAATTTTTATCCATCCGCGTGACATTGATAAAATAATATATATCTTCTTTGTTTGGTCAGATCGGAGTTCAAAAAAAATATATAGTTCAACTTTGTAGAGTAAGAAGAAAAAGATGTGGGTGTTTACGAAAACAAATTTGTAGCATGATTTTTGTGAAACTATTAATTTGTAAACAATTATCAGGAGGTCATAATTGTATTTCGTTAGATTATTGTTGACCTTGACTTCTTTTTTTTTCTTTTTTTTCTAATGAGGAAGGAAATAAACTTCAAAGCCAATTCCATAGGGTAACCAACCCTAAATTCTTGATGAAGAGTTGTCATAGCTTCTTGACTTTCTAGTGTCATGTGTACACCTATTTATTTGATTAGAAATGTTGGTTGTTATTTTCTTTGTTGAATTTGTATATATTTATGCCATTTAAACGTCATAGCCAAATTGAAACTCCGCATTTCTTGTTAGGGTGTGAAAATGAGAATTTGAATTTAGGGCTCTTCTAAACCTTGGGTTTATGATGTAAGATTTGGGGAAATTTGTTGAGGGGTTGGATTGAGGGCAACCTAAGGATGAGATAATGTCAGAAATGGACAGAAATATCCCTAACCCCTTGAAACAAATTGATGGAATTCATTATTTATCCTTAAATTGCTACAATTATGAAACTACAAAGGCACAATTGACCAAATTTAAACTACGTAGACCAAAAGTGGAAAAAAAAGGCAAACTAACAAGGACCAAAAGTGACTTTGTGAAATTGAATAAATCCTCAAACATAACTATCGAAAGACTTCTTAAACTATATTAAATTCATTCAAAAACACGAAAATTGAAGAACTTATTAATTGAATAGATAAACAGGGGCATAGCATAAAAAATGAAAGAGGTGAAGAAGCAATTAATATATTTTTTTAAATAAAGTCTATTAAAATTAACGTTTATTTTCAACATCATTACAGAAATAACAAAAAAAAAACAATCCTTTAAATCACCTTCGCCACATTTTCTTTTTAATAAAAAAAAAATAACCTCGACATATTTTTAAAATCTACAATTATCCTTTTAATTTGAATATAAGATGCATTGAACCATCCAAATTTGGTAATTTCCATCCTCATTTGGAAAATAATCAAATGATGACATCATGTTCATGGCAAAGGAGGGAAAACTGAAAAAGGCAAAACAAATATTATTAAAAATGAGCAAAGCTTGTGTGTTTTTCCATAAACTCGTCATTCATCAAAGTTGTCATCCCAAAAACAAAACGTGTATTTTTCCAATTTGAAAATTTGAAGGCTGATTATAAAATTATTTTTAGCTGGGGGACCTGCCGCTTTCATTATTACGGTGCTAATTATGGCCTGACGTGGATTTACCCAGATTAACTTATTTACACGCCATTCTATGGATGCCGTACTTCTGGGATTTCTCCGGTTATGGAAGCTCTATAATTAGGATGATGTCAACCTTTCAGTTTGTGAAATTCCCAAAACACCCCAATGCCTTAGCACTGCATTACAGCCCATTATGTTTTGGCAATTATTCTCCTATGAAATTATTGTACACATCGTGCAGTGCACACAATGTGTCTGAGTTTGACTCGGAAAAAACGCAACAAATAGTGTTAAAAAATGGTTTATGTATTCCACATGAATAAATATAAAGTCTTATAGGGGTCGTTTAATACGATGGATTGTCATTAATTGGACTGAATGTTAGTACCGTCTTGAATTGGCTTGGTATGGCATAAGCTGGATAACACTCGTACAGTGTTTGGTGTATGTTTGATTGGATTAGGACTATTTTTTTTAACCTTTTTTGCTCTCTCCATCTCTTTCCTCATTTTCCTCTCTGCTTCACTTTCTTCTTCTTCCCACTGCATCTCTTTCATCTTCTTCTTCTATCTACTTTTCTTCTTCTTTTTTTTCCAAAATTCTCTCCTCTTCCCCTTTATTTGAAAATTTTATCTCCTCTTCTTCTCCATTTTCTCTCCACCCATCTTTTTATGCCCTAAAATTCATCCCATCTCAACATACCATTGATGTTGTGGGGTGGTGAGAAGATTGGGACGATGATACAGTGACTTTGTTGTGGTGTTTGTTTTTTTGAATTTTGAACGGGCTATGGCTGTTTGGGATAAAGATCCAGTGGCCATGGTGGATATGTGAATCTGGATTGTGTAGTGGTGTGAGTGTGGGAGTAAAGAAGGGAGCAAAAGAGAGATAGAGAGCAAGGACGGATTTAGGAATTGCAAATCAAGTGGGCTAAATTTACCTTAAGTACAAATGTATTAAGAAAATTTGGTGAGTTTTGTGGATTTTGGTTGGTTTTCGTAGATTTTTAGGCTTGGACAATAGATTTTAGGAACTAAAAACTAGAGGTAACCCACATGGGTGGCTAAATTTTTTTTTTGGGTAAATCATAAGCCCTAGTTTGTTATATTTTATTTTATATAAGCACTCTGTTTTCAGTATATTTTCTTAATCATATTTAGAACTTTTGTTATTATACAAATTTGAAATAGAGAAAATGTTGGAATTATTGATAATATTGTTAAAATATTTGGAAGGGATTGAAGGGAAACATTGAAAGAAAAAAAAAGAAAGTAATAATAAAATAAAAACACATATCTCCTCCCTCTATCTTTTTTATTATATTTTCTCGTCTCTCTTTTTTTTAATCTCTCCCTCTCTTTTTTTATTCTTTTTCCTCTCTTTCTCTCTCTCCCTCTCCCTCTTTCTTTATTCTTTTTCCTTCTTCCTCTCTTCTTCTTTTCTTTCTGCTCTCTCCGTCTGCTCCATCTCTCTGTTCTTTCTTCTTGCAGCTTTGGGATGGGCTATCTCCATTAAGTTTTTTTTCTTCTTAAGAATACTATATGGTATTACAAACACACAAAAATATTTGTATGGGCTGTAGCCTAAACAGCCCCACTATGTGGATCCGTCCCTGATAGAAAGGTTGTGCACTAGGCAGTGGCGTGGGGGTTGGGCTGGGCAATGTCTTACGAGTTGCAAACGCTAGCTAGAGCACGGGACAATTAGTCCCTCCATCCCACGCAGGTTTCAATAAGAACACCTAAGGAGGTGTTTTTGGTGGGACCGGGATCACCAATCCCACTTAAGCTTAGAACCGCATGACAACAAGAGTGTTGCTAAACGAACCCTAAAATTAACTGACTACACCCTATAATCTAAGTTAACCATAATATTTTAATCAATAAATAGTTTGGTAGTAGGGTGTACTAAGTTAATTTTAGGGTTCGTTTAGCAGCACTCGGACAAAAAACATGAGATAAATTATTATCCAAGCTAGTCCAAGGCAAGGAGGTGTAACAAACTTTCAGCGGTTTTGTCCCTTGAATTATTTGCATATTGTCAATTTAACTTTTTTACAATTTTTTTCAGTAAATTAAGGACTTCAATTGTTTAAAGATCGCTAATTGAGAGCTTATTGTCAATTTTTTCAAATGTTATCAAAATTTCCGTCTAAATTAAGGGTAAATTCATAATTTAATGATTTTTTTTAATAAATAAAGTAAAAACCTCACGTACCCAGACCTCGATGCACTTCCACCCTTCTTGCCCCCCCTCTGTCTCTCTCTCCCCTCCCATCTAAACCCACCCACCTCCAACAAGCCTCATCGCCACTCGCCTCCACCCCACCTTAGCGTCGCTGCCGCCCATCCTCTCCTCTTTCTCTCTCTTCACCATCTCTGTCTTTGAACAAACCCACCTACCATCTGCTAATTCCATAGCCATCTCTCTCGCTAAGGACGGAGCCAAAGTCACTGGAAGAGAATGCCAAGCTTAGCATCACAATAAGACATAGACCCAGCATCACAAACGCAAATCTTAGCATGTCCATTTAGGAGCCTTAACCAAATTCAATTAGCAAAAGATGCGCATATGTCAGCGTCTTTGGTCAATATGAGGGAGAATCATTTAGATGGGCTTCTCAACCACCTCCCTCATTGGCAATGGCGGAGCCACTCCTAGGCCTGGAGTGGCCTTGGCCTTCTAAATTTTGATCTTTCCTTTATTATATTATATATAACATATAGAATTTGTAATAAATAACTATAATTTAAGTTAAAATTCCCTCTAAAACAAATTAGACATGACTAAATTATAAATATTTAACTCTAAACATGTAACTAATAAATACTTAGGTACTTATATATGTATTTTCTACTTCACCCCCCCACCCCCCCAACTTTGTGATTCTAGCTCCACCCTTACTCACTAGTCCAGGTCTTTTCTAAGGATGGTTTACCTTGCCTTCCATTTGTTGACAGGACCCGTCCCGAATTTCCCGGAACCCGAGACGAACCCTGCGGAGACCCCGGCATCACACCCACGCCGGGTTTACTCCTTAAATCTACGTCCTCGTTTACCAGAGAGGATTTAGGGCACGAGACTTTCTGCCAAAATTTCGGCAGAGTCTCCCCTGTAAATTAAACATTCCCCAAAATTTCCACCTGCATAAAACACATTTTATAACCCAACCAGCAGCACGCACAATATAATCTCAGGCAATTTACATAAATGGCCTCCAGCCTTCAAATGATTCTAGCAGAACTACTCACACTGCTTTTAAAGTAACTCCATGCATCAAACATGCACAGAACCAATTCAAAATCTAACTATGCACACCTTCGCTCACTCAGTCCACCGGACCAGTCTCAATTCAACCAAGTGTCGGGACCAACCACGAGGTCCGCATCATACACAATGAAACCACCTAAGTGGTGTCTAAGTCGTGGCTGCACCTAGGCGCTATCCCAGGCTGCCTACGTACCCTACTAAGGGATCAAGCCACACGTAGCTCTTTCCTATCAATCCTGGCTCCTGATATCAATTAAACCATCATCCATATAAATTCATCCATCACACACACCCAAACACAATCACATAGCTCCCCTCATACGTCGGGACGCACCCGGCCACGTACGGGGTCTGTCAACACGCCGGCTAATCCAAAGACGCGTGCGACCTCACACTGGGCCTGGCTACATTCTCACCAGCCATCATACATCATATCTCCCACTCATACGTCGGGACGCACCCGGCCACGTACGGGGTCTGTCAACACGCCGGCTAACCCAAAGACGCGTGCGACCTCACACTGGGCCTGGCTACATTCTCACCAGCCCTCATACCATCATATCTCCCACTCATACGTCGGGACGCACCCGGCCACGTACGGGGTCTGTCAACACGCCGGCTAACCCAAAGACGCGTGCGACCTCACACTGGGCCTGGCTACATTCTCACCAGCCCTCATACCATCATATCACCCACTCATACGTCGGGACGTACCCGGCCACGTACGGGGCCTGTCAACACGCCGGCTAACCCAAAGACGCGTGCGACCTCACACTGGGCCTGGCTACATTCTCACCAGCCCTTATACCATCATATCACCCACTCATACGTCGGGACGTACCCGGCCACGTACGGGGCCTGTCAACACGCCGGCTAACCCAAAGACGCGTGCGACCTCACACTGGGCCTGGCTACATTCTCACCAGCCCTTATACCATCATATCACCCACTCATACGTCGGGACGTACCCGGCCACGTACGGGGTCTGTCAACACGCCGGCTAACCCAAAAGACGCGTGCGACCTCACCACTGGGCCTGGCTACATTCTCACCAGCCCTTCATACCATCATATCACCCACTCATACGTCGGGACGTACCCGGCCACGTACGGGGCCTGTCAACACGCCGGCTAACCCAAAGACGCGTGCGACCTCACACTGGGCCTGGCTACATTCTCACCAGCCCTTATACCATCATATCACCCACTCATACGTCGGGACGTACCCGGCCACGTACGGGGCCTGTCAACACGCCGGCTAACCCAAAGACGCGTGCGACCTCACACTGGGCCTGGCTACATTCTCACCAGCCCTTATACCATCATATCACCCACTCATACGTCGGGACGTACCCGGCCACGTACGGGGCTGTCAACACGCCGGCTAACCCAAAGACGCGTGCGACCTCACACTATCACTTGGGCCTGAGCATAATCACAATATGAGGGGTACGTGGGGTAGTGCGTATAGCACTGTAAACTAACATTCAATCCTTATATATCATTATACCTCCATACAATCAATTAAATATAACATATAATTCTAATCATACAAACACCTTAACAAACAACTAGCATCCGATAATCCCCCATAATCCCCATGACATCAGGACCTGTCACCACGGTCATTTTAATCTTCCTAGGAATGTAATACTACCTAGGAAGTCCCACAGACAAACCAGGGTCAAACTACCCAACCTTGGTCAAACGGGCCCGCGGGGCCCACGACCTCCAATTTCCGATCCGAAAGTTCCTATAGGTTCTACAAGCTCTAGGATGCACGTCCTGCAAGTTTGGTCCAGATCGGACGGTCGGATCGCTCACGATCGCACGATCGGACGGTTACTAAAACCCTAACCCCAGGGTTGGCATTTCCGGAGTATCCGGGACTCCGTTTTACGATCCGTCGAATCCTACACGATCCTGGTAATACCTAGATCAACATATTATAATCTCAGGACCATCCAACGGTCCAAACCCAGCGAACCCGGAAAATACGCGATATGCGATATCCGTTCGGGACTCTAACGATATCCAAATTGAGATCCGAGCACACCTACGCGCTCGTGACAACTGAGGATCACATTGGGACAAAAATGCCCCTCAGCTACAGTGCCCACGCGCCGCCACACGCGCCGGCAGCGCGTGGGTGTCCAAAGCGATACCCATCGCCGGAAAACTTCCAAATCGTGAGCCCAGACTCCTACCCTAGGTAATACACCTAATTTGGAGTCACTTTTGTTCTTGGACGTACCCCAAAAACTGACCGGAAGTGGCCGGAATCTCATCCCGAAATCCGGCCGAACCCAACTCGAAAATCGAGTATCTAGCTCAAAATCGATCAATCCTACCCAACAGCAGCTAGAGCTCGGAAAATAGGTGAGAAACCATACCTCACTTGCCGGAATCGGTGGCCGGACGACGGAGAACGAAGCCGGCGAAGTTTCGGGCGAAACCGGAGCTTTTCTCTCGATTTTCCGGCGAAATCCCGGCGGCTGGCGGCGAGACCTGGCTGGGGTAGGAAGAGGACGGCGGCCCGGTCATTTTGGTACCGGCCCCGTCGACTTTGGTGGCCGGACGAGAGCACGGCCGGCCAAAACGTGGCCGGCTGTGGTGGCGGTCGCGAACCAGAGGAGAGAGAGAGGACGCGCGGGAGAGAGAGAGAGTGTGAGAGACGGGGGCAATTCCGTCTTTTAACCAAAAATCCCACTTCCAAATATTTACGATTATGCCACTGAGCTTCATTTGATCATATCTCTCTCGTTACAACTCCGATTCGAGCCCACTACGTGTCTACGAACTCATCTCGCCGTGCTCTACGCAACGGTACATCCGGAATTCCCAAATTCCTTCCGGGTAAGAAAATGACTAAAATACCCCTATCCCACGGGTAAATTCTTAATTCACTCAAATAATTAAAACAGGGGATAAATTTGGGAGTCGGGGTGTTACAGACTACCCCCCTTATAAAAATTTCGTCCCCGAAATTTCATACCTGCCACTTCAAAGGGTGTGGGTACTGGGCCCGCATCTACTGCTCGGGTTCCCATGCTTCATCCTCCACAACCAAGTTGGCAGCCAAGTCATTCCATTTGTGATTTGATTCTCTTCTAGTTCTCCCATGAAGAGAAGTCCAAACTCCTTGACTTGTTGATATCTTCCTTCTTTCTTTAGAATCGATAAGCAACATTGCCAACACGATTCTTTGAGAGGAATGTCAGAAAGGATCATTTTTACCGAATTGTAATCATCATCTTCCTCTCTCTACCATGACCCATTTCTGATTCAGATAAAAGATTTCAAACGTGTGCACATGAGATGAGACCCCAAAGCACTCTCTTCATCTCCACGGTAGGTTTACCAATCCATCTAGGTCTCATCCTTGGATTTGCTCGTGGTATTCCCACCACACACGAGCCTCCTTCCGTATGAGGAGTACGGCTATCTAAATCTTTTCTCACACTTGTGATTTTGATTATACTAAAGCCGTCCTTCATATCATGAATCCAGTGATTCACTCTTCGAGAATTCACTCTTCTCAAAGAAAGGTTGAGCTCTTATTATCTTCGACTTCGTGCTCAATGCACACAATCGAGAATTAGCAACATGTTCAGGCAATGGAGGATCCCCAGAAGTAGATTGATCAACTCCATGTCCTCCTGCCCATAAGAACTCTACAAACTTCATCCAACACTACTACTTCTCAACTTAATTTGTCACGACCCTCCTTGGTCGGACTCACAACTCCTCCATTCCCATGTAACTTGTCCATCAACTTCCTCTGACAATTTCGTCTCATCTCAGCGGATTCAATACTTTCAGCTCTTCCATTTCCTTCCATAGGATATTGAGATACGACAATTTGGATAGACACGTTTCTAGGAACGTGGCACCCTTAAGTGTACTCATCAATACCCTAAATCCATCCATGTCAAAGAATCCTCCGCGTCAAAATGATGACGTCCCGTGACGGAACCCATCATGATCCCACAACTTAAGGATGCACACAAGGTGCGGGGTCCACAAGAAATTGAACCTAAGCTCTGATACCAAGCTGACAGGACCCGTCCCGAATTTCCCGGAACCCGAGACGAACCCTGCGGAGACCCCGGCATCACACCCACGCCGGGTTTACTCCTTAAATCTACGTCCTCGTTTACCAGAGAGGATTTAGGGCACGAGACTTTCTGCCAAAATTTCGGCAGAGTCTCCCCTGTAAATTGAACATTCCCCAAAATTTCCACCTGCATAAAACACATTTTATAACCCAACCAGCAGCACGCACAATATAATCTCAGGCAATTTACATAAATGGCCTCCAGCCTTCAAATGATTCTAGCAGAACTACTCACACTGCTTTTAAAATAACTCCATGCATCAAACATGCACAGAACCAATTCAAAATCTAACTATGCACACCTTCGCTCACTCAGTCCACCGGACCAGTCTCAATTCAACCAAGTTTCGGGACCAACCACGAGGTCCGCATCATACACAATGAAAACCACCTAAGTGGTGTCTAAGTCGTGGCTGCACCTAGGCGCTATCCCAGGCTGCCTACGTACCCTACTAAGGGATCAAGCCACACGTAGCTCTTTCCTATCAATCCTGGCTCCTGATATCAATTAAACCACATCCATAAAATCACATTCATCCACAACACACCAAACAAATCACATAGCTCCCACTCATACGTCGGGACGCACCCGGCCACGTACGGGGTCTGTCAACACGCCGGCTAATCCAAAGACGCGTGCGACCTCACACTGGGCCTGGCTACATTCTCACCAGCCATCATACCATCATATCTCCCACTCATACGTCGGGACGCACCCGGCCACGTACGGGGTCTGTCAACACGCCGGCTAACCCAAAGACACGTGCGACCTCACACTGGGCCTGGCTACATTCTCACCAGCCCTCATACCATCATACTCCCACTCATACGTCGGGACGCACCCGGCCACGTACGGGGTCTGTCAACACGCCGGCTAACCCAAAGACGCGTGCGACCTCACACTGGGCCTGGCTACATTCTCACCAGCCCTCACACCATCATAACTCCCACTCATACGTCGGGACGCACCCGGCCACGTACGGGGTCTGTCAACACGCCGGCTAACCCAAAGACGCGTGCGACCTCACACTGGGCCTGGCTACATTCTCACCAGCCCTCATACCATCATATCTCCCACTCATACGCGGGGACTACCCGGCCACGTACGGGGCCTGTCACACGCCGGCTAACCCAAAGACGCGTGCGACCTCACACTGGGCCTGGCTACATTCTCACCAGCCCCACACCATCATATCTCCCACTCATACGTCGGGACGCACCCGGCCACGTACGGGGTCTGTCAACACGCCGGCTAACCCAAAGACGCGTGCGACCTCACACTGGGCCTGGCTACATTCTCACCAGCCCTCATACCATCATATCTCCCACTCATACGTCGGGACGCACCCGGCCACGTACGGGGCCTGTCAACACGCCGGCTAACCCAAAGACGCGTGCGACCTCACACTGGGCCTGGCTACATTCTCACCAGCCCTTATACCATCATATCACCCACTCATACGTCGGGACGTACCCGGCCACGTACGGGGCCTGTCAACACGCCGGCTAACCCAAAGACGCGTGCGACCTCACACTGGGCCTGGCTACATTCTCACCAGCCCTTATACCATCATATCACCCACTCATACGTCGGGACGCACCCGGCCACGTACGGGGCCTGTCAACACGCCGGCTAACCCAAAGACGCGTGCGACCTCACACTATCACTTGGGCCTGAGCATAATCACAATATGAGGGGTACGTGGGGTAGTGCGTATAGCACTGTAAACTAATATTCAATCTCCTTATATATCATTATACCTCCATACAATCAATTAAATATAACATATAATTTCTAATCATACAAACACCTTAACAAAAACTAGCATCCGATAATCCCCCATAATCCCCATGACATCAGGACCTGTCACCACGGTCATTTTAATCTTCCTAGGAATGTAATACTACCTAGGAAGTCCCACAGACAAACCAGGGTCAAACTACCCAACCTTGGTCAAACGGGCCCGCGGGGCCCACGACCTCCAATTTCCGATCCGAAAGTTCCTATAGGTTCTACAAGCTCTAGGATGCACGTCCTGCAAGTTTGGTCCAGATCGGACGGTCGGATCGCTCACGATCGCACGATCGGACGGTTACTAAAACCCTAACCCCAGGGTTGGCATTTCTGGAGTATCCGGGACTCCGTTTTACGATCCGTCGAATCCTACACGATCCTGGTAATACCTAGATCAACATATTATAATATCAGGACCATCCAACGGTCCAAACCCAGCGAACCCGGAAAATACGCGATATGCGATATCCGTTCGGGACTCTAACAATATCCAAATTGAGATCCGAGCACACCTACGCGCTCGTGACAACCTGAGGATCACATTGGGACAAAAATGCCCCTCAGCTACAGTGCCCACGCGCCGCCACACGCGCCGGCAGCGCGTGGGTGTCCAAAGCGATACCCATCGCCGGAAAACTTCCAAATCGTGAGCCCAGACTCCTACCCTAGGTAATACACCTAATTTGGAGTCACTTTTGTTCTTGGACGTACCCCAAAAACTGACCGGAAGTGGCCGGAATCTCATCCCGAAATCCGGCCGAAACCCAATCGTAGATCGAGCTACTTATGCTACAAATTGATCAATTCCTACCCAACAGGCAGCTAGAGCTCGGAAAATAGGTGAGAAACCATACCTCACTTGCCGGAATCGGTGGCCGGACGACGGAGAACGAAGCCGGCGAAGTTTCAGGCGAAACCGGGCTGTTTCCTTCGATTTTCCGGCGAAATCCCGGCGACTGGCGGTGAGACCCGGCTGGGGTAGGAAGAGGACGTCGGCCCGGTCATTTTGGTACCGGCCCCGTCGACTTTGGTGGCCGGACGAACGAACGGCCGGCCAAAACGTGGCCGGCTGTGGTGGCGGTCGCGAACCAGAGGAGAGAGAGGGACGCGCGGGAGAGAGAGAGTGTCTGAGAGACGGGGGCAATTCCGTCTTTTAACCAAAATCCCACTTCACAATATTTACGATTTTGCCACTGAGGGTATTTAGATCGTATCTCTCTCGTTACAACTCCGATTCGAGCCCACTACGTGTCTACGAACTCATCTCGCCGTGCCCTACGCAACGGTACCTCTGGAATTCTCAA